CTCCGTACCTCCTGGCATGGGAGAAGCTCCAGATTCTCCCCGGGACTCTCGCCTCTCTTGGCGCCTCCAGATCCGTCTGCACGGCTTGCTCGCGGGGGAAACGGGCCCTGTAGCGGGAGACCTCCTGCGCGTGCTGCAGCTGAGCCTCGAGCAGCTTGTTTCTGCGCTCTAACTCGTGCACTTTGGCGAGGAAACAGCGAAAGCGGAGATTGAGGGTTTTCAGAACATGGATGTTGGAGCCCAGATCGTTCCTCAAGGCGCTGCTGACCCCCGGGCCGGAGCCGTTCCCCGCAGCTCCGCCAACAGGCGCCACCACCATATGAGATAACGGTAACGATAACGGGCTCTCGGCGTAAAGCGAAGCGTTTTGGTCTGGGAAACGACGAGGTAGATCCATCCTGGTCCTGAAAGCAGCTCATTCAAACAGCACTCGCATCATCCGGATCCCGAGGCGCGAGGTGCAGTCAGTCCTGTCTGACGGCACAGCGGCGAGAGCGCAGAGCGCAGAGCCCGTGGCTGATTCCGGGTAAACACACTCAGAGGAGCGTTGACGCTACATGGCTGATTGATGCATTACGGCTCTTTTTTCCTGTAGGCTCGGCTCTGGGTTTGGCTGCTGTATCCGCTCCCTGTGACTCGGGTTGAACTCTCCAAACGGAAAACCGAAGACACAGACGCTCCGCCCCCCAAACACAACAGCCAATGGGACGCAGCTTCCGCCCAACTGAGAGGCGGGGGAGGGGCAAATAAGCTGTTTTGTGTCTCTTTATCAGGGATGGGCGATTAAACTCTATCCATCCAATACCGAGTAATACTATAATAATAATAATATTCTGAAACCAATACCGATACTTTTAAAAGGGGCGATTCTTTGTGATTTCGACAGTGAAAAGAAGTAAAAGGTGGACGCTAAAATCTATATTCGATCTACATTAGTATTAAATAAACTGTCTGTTTAGGGAAATAACTCCAAATGATAACAATTCCACTCCACTTCAGTTTACCGATTAAACACCTAGTATCATGTTGTCATGTGAGGATCAATTCTTACAAAGAAACATCAGAATTGGAAGTATTGATATTTCAGTATTGATCTGCACATCTCCAAAAAATCACACAAGCCTTAAATATATTCAAAGTGCTATGAAGTTTCAGTGTTTTGAGTAAAAAAAAGTGAGCTATTCAGTAAAAGCAAGAGGATCTTAAATGATGTCATATGTTAAACTGCCATATAATGTAATTTTCTTCACTTTTTTGAAGTGTTTGATGTTGTATGTAATCATTGCTAAAGCTGTTAAAAATGGACGGTTCACCTCCAAGTCCATTGATATGTAAACTAACTTGCAAAAACAGACTGTTTTGTCTGTGATGTCATGCAAAACAATACATTTATATACACTATATTGCCAAAAGTATTCACTCGTCTGCCTTCACACGCATATGAACTTGAGTGACATCCCGTTCTTAATCCATAGGGTTTAATATGATGTCGGCTCACCCTTTGCAGCTATAACAGCTTCAACTCTTCTGGGAAGGCGTTCCACAAGGGTTAGGAGTGTTATGGGAATTTTTGACCATTTTTTCAGAAGCGCATTTGTGAGGTCGGACACTGATGTTGGACGAGAAGGCCTGGCTCGCAGTCTCTGCTCTAATTCATCCCAAAGGTGTTCTACCGGGTTGAGGTCAGGACTCTGTGCAGGCCAGTCAAGTTCTTCCATACCAAACTCGCTCATCCATGTCTTTATGGACCTTGCTTTGTGCACTGGTGCGCAGTCATGTTGGAACAGGAAGGGGCCGTCCCCAAACTGTTCCCACAAAGTTGGGAGCGTGAAATTGTCCAAAATCTCTTGGTGCTGAAGCATTAAGAGTTCCTTTCGCTGAAACTAAGGGGCCGAGCCCAACTCCTGAAAAACAACCTCACGCCATAATCCCCCCTCCACCAAACTTTACACTCGGCACAATGCAGTCAGACACTGGCAACCACCAAACCCAGACTTGTCCATCGGATTGCCAGACGGAGAAGCGTGATTCATCACTCCAGAGAACACGTCTCCTCTGCTCTAGAGTCCAGTGGCGGCGCTTTACACCACTGCATTTGACGCTTTGCATTGCGCTTGGTGATGTAAGGCTTGGATGCAGCTGCTCGGCCATGGAAACCCATTCTATGAAGCTCTGTACGCTGTTCTTGAGCTAATCTGCAGAGAATTGGCGACCTCTGCACACTATGCGCCTCAGCATCCTCTGACCCCGCTCTGTCATTTTACATGGCCTACCACTTCGTGGCTGAGTTGCTGTCGTTCCCAATCGCTTCCACTGTGTTTATAATACCACTGACAGTTGACTGTGGAATATTTAGTAGCAAGAAAATTTCACGACTTCATCCTATCACGGTACCACGCTGGAATTCACTGAGCTCCTCAGAGCGACCTATTCCTTTACAAATGTTTGTAGAAGCAGTCTTCATGCCTAGGTGCTTGATTTTATACACCTGTGGCCATGGAAGTGATTGGAACACCTGAATTCAATGATTTGGATGGGTGAGTGAATATATAGTGTATATTCACCTATACATGCTAGAGGTCTGCTAACTGACCCAAGCTTGACAAGGCCCAGCAAAATATCGAGTGCTGGGCTGGGTTCAGACCGTTTTTTTTTTTAACATACAGGCTCGGGTCAGGCTTGTTTTCTAATGAGGGATTTATTTTATGTGAAGGAACATGCCTATGTGAAAAACACATTTCTCCATTGTGCTCGGTCTCTTTCTTCTGTGTGTAAAACAAAAAGTTAGTTTTGCTAACTGTTCACAACAGAGGAAATAAAATAAAGCCCTATTTTTATACACTTACCAAGCACTTCATAAGGAGCACCTGTACAGCTACTCATTCAAGCAATTATCTAATCAGCCAATCATGTGGCAGCAGTACAGTTCATAAAATCATGCATGTATGGGCCCGCAGCTTCAAATACTGATCACATCAACCATCGGAATTGGGGAAAAAATGTGATCTCAGTGATTTTGACCATGGCATGATTGTTGCTGCTAGACAGGCTGCTTTGAGTATTTCTATAACTGTTGGTCTTCTGGGATTTTCACACACAACAGTCTCTAGAGTTTATTCAGAATGGTGCAATAAAGAAAAAACACCGTCTGAGCTGCGGTTCTGTGGATGGAAATGCTTTTTTTGATGAGAAAGTCAAGGGAGAAGGCCAGACTCGTTTGAGCTGACAGAAAGGCCACAGTAACTCAGATAACCACTCTATAGTGAGACAAAAAACATCTCACAATGCATAAAACGTTCAACTTTGAGGTGGATGGGCTACAGCAGCAGAAGACCAAGTTGGGTTTCACTTCTGTCAGCCAAGAACACAAAAAAAGCTGAGACTGCAGTGAGTACAGGCTCATCAAAACTGGACAGTTGAAGACAAACGTACATTGGAAAACATAGCCTGGTCTAATGAATCTAAATTTCTGCGGAGGCACATGGATAGTAAGGTCAGAATTTGGACACCAGTCCATGGACCCACCTTGTGCCAACAGTCCAGGCTGGTGGAGGTGGTGTAATGGCATGGAGAATGTTTTCTTGGCTCACTTTGGGCCTTTTAATACTAATCAGTCATTGCTTGAATGCTACAGTCTATTTAAGTGTTGCTGCTGACCATGTGCATTCCTCCATGGCCACAATTCACCCATCTTCTAATGGCTACTTGCAGCAGGATAATGCACCATGTCACAAAACAAAAGTCATCTAAAACTGGTTTAATGTGCATGACAATGAGTTCAGTGCTCTTCAGTGGCCTTTCCAGTCACCGGATCTGAATCAAATAGAACACCTGTGGGACGTGGTAGAAACAGAATTTGCAGCGTGAAAGTGCACCTGAAAAAAAGCTGTTTTGAGAGCAAAGGGAGGCCCTATCCAGTATTAATATTCTATAAGCTGTATTGTTTTTGATTCCAGTGATACCACTTCAGAAAATGGTTGAAAAACTGCTCCTTTGAGGGTGTTTGGCTACTGCTGCTTGAAAAGTAATGCAGCATTGCTGGCAAAACATTTTTGAGAAGATTTTGTTTTTAGTCTTTAGTTTTTGTGTGAGTAAAACATTGCAGGAGTGTATTTTGTGCATGACTCAGAAATAAAAGAGGTGGTGCTTATACTGACCATCTTAATGGCCATTGTGAACACACACATCCCGTTTAATTGCTGATTAATTGCTGCAAGTGGGAATCAAGCAAAGCCCGAACATTAGCGGTAAATAAATGCCAGAAGCGTACTGGTCCGCTCTGCTGCAGTGCGAGAGCATTCAGGTCTGGTTCGGATTTCAGCCTGAACTCTGTGCAGATCTCCAACTCCACCAATTTCCATTGACATATGAGTGTTTAAGCCTAAACTGCCTTTTTTCGCACCATACAGGGCAGCCAATCAGAAGAGGTCATATACATTTATCAGTCTTAAAGACACAGTAACAAAAACAGCATGTTTAATTCTAAGGGATGTATTATGGTCATGTGAAAAATGAATCATGTTTTTGGTACATAAACCCATGTTTAAAGTGGACCTCAGAAAAAAAAAAGAAATACAAGCAATGTGTAGGATGTAGGCCCTTTAAAATGATGAGCTATTAAGTGGAAAAACTCTCTTAAGTTATAAATAAATTATAATGACTTAGGATATTAATATTCATATTAACGACTTCAACATTAACGACTCGGGATGCTTTGTTGCAATAATGCTTCCGTAAAAATATCCAAAATATGTAATAAATCTTCTTTAGCAGAAATAAAAATTCACTTAACACCGTACATCTTTCGTCTTATTAAAGTTCATGTACCCAGGTTTAGGATTAGCCCATAATGCATCATTTCCAGACTACCTACACTTGCAAAATTGAGATTCTAATAGCTGCAGGTAACAAAGCTGCAGGTAACAAAGATTTCCTTCACATAAGTCCCTTTCTCGTAATTCTTTATTCTTGTATTACTCAGATGACAAAAGAGTCACTTGTGGAATTTGTACAGCTTTATTAATTTGAGCTAATTCAAAAAGCGGACATTCAGCAACAGTTGAACATTGTAGCAGCGGGAATAGGCGAAACACTAACTGGGTTCTTTTATTTATTATTTTTTTTACTCCACACCATGCATTCAGCTCCGTGTACAAGGTCACCCTTTGCAGGTGTATATACTGTAAATATATATATATATATATATATTTTACGAATTAACTTATCACCAAGACAGCTCTCAGTGGTGTCTTGCTTACCAGAAACAAAAAGGGCTTTGGGAAAATGTCGCCTCTGTGGACCATTTTGGTTTATGTTGGGGAAAATATGTCACATGAAACTGAGAAGCCCAAAAAGAATCTAGTGTTGTAAACTTGAGATCATAAACAAAAACCCAAGCAGGAAAACAAAGCGAAAAGGAAAAAAAAAAGCTTCCAAAGAAAAGATGCAGGCCCTTTTATTCTTTTATCTCGACAGTTGTTGAGTTTCATTGTAGAAGCAAGTAAAACCCCGTTACAAATGCATTTCAGATTCAGTGGGCTTACAGATTAGTTATAATCCCATTCTGTTCGTTTCATTTATACAAAGGAGAGAAACCTCACAAGAATCTCTTCAAACACCCAGCAACAGGCCTAGCCTTTCTTACAAAATACAATCAGATTGTTACACACCACTGCAAAATGTCCAGAAACAATGTGCTTGACCTCGAGAAATCAGTTCACACTTCTGTGAAACTGCTGCACTCATTCTGGAAGTTAACTCAAAAAACAAACAAAAGAAAAAAAAAAGGAAAAATAAAAGCCATCAAGTTGTCTTACACAGTCATTAAATTCCCAAACATTTAAAGTTACTTGAAGAGATCACCTGCCAACATGTTGGATCAAAACAGCACGGTATGTTTCAGTGTATTAGATGTTACAGAAACATTTGTAATAAATGCATTAACTCGTCTGACTACATATATAATTCTCTGGTTTAGGAGTGTTATAGCTGAAGACGCTGCAGAAGAACAAACCCAAGTGGAAATCAAGAGCGGAGGTGGTGGTGAATGAGAGTGGGTGAGCTGATAAATTTTGGGGGGCCCAGACCCCGATTGAAAGGTGTCCTTTTGGAGCTGCAAGCAGCAGTGTCCAGGTAGTGGACAGCCTCCATGTTTAAGGAACACCTGCACTGAGCAGGGTGGACACGTGTCCGGTAAGGGGAAAGGCTGAATGCCATCAGGGCACAGAGTTCAACAGGTCCTGCAGAAAACCATCAGGGTCTGGGATGTCTGAGAGAAGCCCTGTAAAAAGACAATGGAAGAGGTAAGAAACCAGGCCAACTCATTCAAACTCAAGTGCTTAGCAAAACCTCTATAGCAGAACATACTGCTGTGTTTAGTTACTGACACCAGCACAAGGAGTTCTACCGATACAAACAAGCTGAAACACCTTAGCAGTCATGTGTGTGTGGTGGAACTTGAGCCTCTGCTTCGGCTTGAAGCTCTAAGCATCAAAATTAGTGAACAAACTACAGGACCAGGAACTGATATCTGAGGCTTTACAGCTTTGTTGCACTCTTTGGTGCAAATGAAGACTGTCCTAAATCTACTGAATTTGTAACTGTAAAATACCCAGAGTTTTAAATAATAATAAAAGTATCAACAATTTTTTTTTCTCCAAATTTGTCAATTTCTCAAAGGTGCTTATCGTCCCAGCCCTACTGTTTAATAAGGTGATCTGATCATTCATTTATTGTCTCATGCTGCAAGCAACAATTTGCATAGCTCCTCAGAAGCTGTAATTTAAACCTACACAATAAACCTAAGAGATAGCTGCAGGCAAATCCGCATGATCTCTAATCAAAAATGGCCCTGTAATTTGACTGTACAGTCAGCGACGTGGGGGAAAACTGTTTCCACTCACCTACGACATCCAGGAACTCTGAGAAAGATTCAGCAGGCATCAGCTCGTCCTGGAAAGCCCTCAGCACCCTTTCTGAAGCCTCATAGATGGGCATGTCATTGTGCCGCACATACTCTGCCAGTGAGAAGGACCAGCCTCCCTCTGTGTTACTGGTGGGCACTTTCTGTAATAGCCACAGGAAAAACCTGAATCAGAACTTACTGAGTGGCTACATAATAAACAGACGCATTTTCTTGGGTTATGTCCATGAAAATATAAGTCAGCAGAAGATGACAGATGATGCTTCTTATTCTACAGAAAGTAAACCTCAAAAGGTTAGAGGCAAAAAAGTGCTTTTACCCTGAACATGTCATAGATGAGGTCCACCAGGCCCCAGAAGAGAAGTGGAGAGCGATAAACCATGTACTCTTTCACTGCTTTGTCTGTGAGTCTGAAACATCAAAAACAAGAGAGATTCAATTACACTGATTTGGTTTATAAGGGGCAGTAACTCACATTTTTTTCCAGATTATTTAAATAACAAAGGATTAACAAAAAAGTAAATTAACAACAATAACTAAATAACTATTTACTGTCTAAAATAATGTAAAAACTACAATAAATAAATAATAACCTAAATAACTAAGAGGGTGTTATTAAAAGATCTAAATCACTTCACAGTGTCAGGACAAGCATGAGCAACCTTATCTTACAACACAGCTTGTACAGACAATTATTCTGTCAACGATGCACTAATGCATTATGACAGAACTAGGCCTAGTCACTGCCTAATTTAATCAGAATGAAATCAGGAATCAACTCTCCAGTCTCTCATAGTAAACAGGACATATTCTCTTCATTCACATGTTGATGGTGGCTGCAAAGGTTTGAATGAGCTATGATGTTTGAAAAGACCTTCATTTTAAATTTACGTCAGGAAAAATAATTGGCACATTTCTCACACAACGGAAGCAAAGCAGCGCAGAAAAGACATGCTGACAGAAAGCCTTCTTTTCAGCCTAGACATTGGCTCCTTGCTTACTTGTTGGCGCCCCCTGGTGAGACCTTCCGTGCATGCGCGGTAACTAGGAGCCTGCGCAAGAAGTCGACGCGTGTGGCCCTCCAGCGCTCAGGAGGGAGGATGTGCATGGCCAGCACAGTGAAGTAATGGGGCCCGTCCACTTCATATGAGCTCTCCACCCATTTATCACATGGCTGTTCCAAGAAACTTTGCAAGTTCTTCTCTTCTCGTGATGTGGCCCTTGTGCTGAAAAACACATAGAGGGAGAATTTCACAAAGTCCTTCAAAAGGGATCCTCAGAAACTATGTATTTCTGTGCTTTGTGATGCACCAGTCTGACGGTGGTGATTAAACTTACTTTTTTTGGCCAAAGTAAAATTGTATGTGTCGGAGAAAAGGGGGTGGGGTGGGCGGCCGTGAGAAGTGCACTATTCAACATCTACTAGTTTATTTTGTATCAAAATGATTAAACTGTGGTGAAATTTTATGATACACTAAATACTTTTCTAAAGACGCAATCAAATCTAATCACATCATTCCATTTACCTCCCTGTTAAGGTAGGTTTAGAAATGCATTGCGCAGCCAAATATGATGCTCAGAAACTCACGTGTTGAGGACGTAGAGGACAGTGTGAATGATATAGGGAATGAGATGGATGTTGCTCTCACGGCCTCCTCCTCCTGTGTCCACGCTGAAGGATTGCTCCATAGCAAAGCGCAGGAACAGCAGCTTGGTGTCGTGGATGTTGAGCTGGTACGTGGGCTCCCTCTGCCCTGTGCACTCTTGCAGATATGTATTGTGCCTACAAACCAGCAGAAAGATTTGAGCTCAGAACAACGTAAGACTACCATTTCAATCACTCAGTCTTCAGGGGAAGACAATACTAATGAGATTTATACAATGTTGTTTGGAGAAAACAAAGCATGTATATGTTCACTAGGATGTTTTCACTAGACACAAACACAACACATGGCTTACCTTGCCAGACAAGTGGCGAAGGCTGATTCGGGTACGTGCGGCCCCCACACAGGCAAGAGCCCATTGCACTTGGTGTTGGCGTTCTGTAGAGCGGCACTTTCCCACTCCTCACGCCCTCGAGCAAGCCTGACACAATAACCAAAACCAGGGGTCAGACCACGTTAAAGGAAGATGTTAAGAGAGACACTTTAAACATAATTACCGGACAGCAGCGAGGTGACAGTCATAGTGGACTATGTTAAAGTGCGAGACAGTGCTGTAGCCCTGCTGTTTGCGGGGTTTGTTCTCAAACTCCTCCAGAGCCACACGCTTCGTAAACGTGTAGATACCCAGGACCTTAGTTGGCTGGAGGGAGGGAGGGAGGGAGAGAGAGAGAGAGAGCGAGAGAGAGAGAGAGCGAGAGAGCGAGAGAGCGAGAGAGAGAGAGCACACAACAGTTAATCCTAGTTGAAAGACCTGGGTAAAGATAATTTTCTGTTCCTAGTGATATTTTTATTTATTAACCTAGTCATACATTATTAATCATAAGTCAAATATAAGAGTTTGGCACATATACCTGAAACTTGTAGCCTTCTCGGCAGATGCAGCAGGTTAACCCTGGCTCCTCTATAAGCTCCTCCATCTGTTTCAATAGGGATGTCTTCGTCACCACCTGGCCTTTCTCATTGGTCTGAAACAAAAACATATATTATATATATTAGAGATATACAATACACTTGCAGATTCAGAATCCAGCTATGAGGGACAAGCCTCAGGAATAATAAAATGTTACTAAAAAAAAGTAATGAGTTCATTAAATGCATTCCAAATGGTGAGGCACATGAGGGACTCACTGTCATGCCGAGCGTGCCTAGAGCTTTCTGCCTCATTGCCATTGCCATACGTTTCTTCTCTGCCCGTGTTTCCCTTCGAGCTGCATCAATCTTAAGGTTCACCTCCGCATGCTCCCTCAATGCTTCTAGAAGGTTCTCGGCCAGAGTGCCAATGCCTTCGTCACTGGACACCTGCTCTAACTTGTGCAAATTGCTAATGGAATCTGTTCCAATCAGCATCTAAAGAAGGAGAAAAGATCTCACGCAATGTTACTCAGGCAAACAAGCGAGAAGAACATGATATGATAAAGCTTTAATCAGTGAGCATAAAAGGGTGTTGTACCTGTGTAGGGGGATGCTGGGTGGCCAGACCACGCAGCAGTCTGAGGATAAAGGGAAGGGCTGGTCGGGCAAGGAACTTCTTCCAAACATCTGCATCCAGACTGCAATACACATAAAGCAGGGATGATGAGGGATGTAAAGCAGTATGTAAAGGGTGGTAAAATATGCAATAGTACGTTGGTAAAACAGGCCATACTTTTTGGCGCTGGGGATATGTTTCTTCATGTAGTCCAGAGCACTCTGAGTGATGCCCTTCTGTAGGATTAGGTCTTTGAGTTGATGGCCATTGCTGTTGTTCTTGATCCCAGCTGCAATTTTACAGAAGCAGTCCAGGAAGACCTTATCATCTGGATTATGCTCCTCGTCATACCTAAAAACAAACAGTTAATAACTTCAAAGGATTTGCCAATACCAGATATTTTTGCCTCCCACACCCACACACAGTGCAGCTTCATTCTCACAAGCCTACACAAACCTGAAGTCACAGGGAACATTGTACAAAAAAATAAATACTAATAGTTGTATAAAACTAAAATTAAGCGTTACATTTTTTTTTCAGCAAAGGTACCCCAGCAAAATAGAAATAGAATAAAAAATATGCTTAAAAAACACTGATCAGAGCAGATCTGAAAACTGTCTGGGCAAGGCTTGGAAATCAAATGAGCATATATGACTGTCATACCTCTATTCAACACTTCCAGCCTACTACATCACTCATGCTGAACTACGCATAATATTGCAAGTGGAGAGTAATGAATGACACTAGCACTACATATGCAGGACGTGTTTTACCCTACCCTCATGTCCATGGCTCACTAAAAATATCAAGATTTTATGTGACAATGTCTTGAGGAAGGTGAGGTTGTACTTCACCACTGGATGCACACTTGAAATGCACACTAATGTAAATTTAGATAAATGATTATTATCTGCAGAATTAGCATGATAAACAATCTAAGCATCACGTCAGCATTACAGAGCCTTACCCTCAAGCTTAAATTTTCCTGAGGGTAATTTAATTTCTAACTGGGCTAGCTTCTAATATTATTTCACTTATAATAACTATATTCTGCAACACTTAACATCCAGCGGTAGAGTGCGTTCATTTGGAAGGAACTCTCTGGCACTCTTGGCCAATTATGTTGGTCATTTAAAGGACAATGGAATGTTTTTTATAAGACGTGCTTTGCACATGCAAAATATGTGTCCATAACAATTAAATTAATGTAACTGGACAGAAAAGATTGATTCCCTGTGGCTTTACAGTGACCATCAAAAATAAATGATCATGAATGGACAAAGAACATAACACAAATGAAGGCTGTACTTGTCAAAACAGCAGCAGGGTTTGAAACGCTCCACAAGGATGTGCATTTTCTCTAGCTCTCCAAAGGACAGGTACGGAATGATGCGCAGCAGGCCCTGAAGAACGCTGGGGTTGGAGCGCACAAAAGTGGTGTTGATCTGGTCAAGCAACATCACCAACTGGTCTTTATCTCCCGTCAACAGCAAATTACCCTGCAGAAGGCACACAAGGACAGCATTAAAAGCAACACTTAATAAAACAGTGCAGAGGGATAGAGCTATTACTGTATAAACATGTACAACTCCATTTTCAATTAATGTAAACTAACAAATGAATCAAACATATGGGCTCACCTTGTCCTCAGACAGAGTTTCTGCATTGGCCTCATCAAGAATGATCTCCATGATGCTGAGGACCTGCTCTGCTATAGATGCCCCTCCACTGTCCTTACTCTCCTGCTCAGCTACTAGTGCCTGGCAAGGTCAAGAACTCATGTTAATATGGTTGGCTTAGCAAATGTTTATGGGAATCTTAAGTCCTCAAGCACACTGTATGCATTTTACTCACAAGGTTCAAAGTGCCCAGCATAACATTGAGGGTGTTCATCTCTGGTTTCACCAGCTGCTGTCTGTTGATCTTCACTTTAACACAGTAACTGAACAGCTTCAGCAGAACCTAAACAGGGGGAACGAATAAAAACATACTCTTGCTTCTAAAAAAATAGAAGTATACAGCTTCATTTTAAGGAGTTCTGTTTCTCTCCAGCATCTAATATTTGCTAAGTGGAATATGAAATAAATTAAAGTCAAAACGAATGCATTTCACATACTGTTAGTAGGTGTCTGCCCTGCTTGAAATCTTTAATTCCAGAGAGTCTGTTAAGCATACACTCCAATCCTCCACACTGTGCCATGACTCCAGCCATTTTATACACCTCCTCATCATCCTCCTCCTCATCTGTACATGGAAAAAACGGTTTGAACCAGCTCAAGTCTGTTATCTTTCAATGCATCCTTTACAGTAAATGTTCAAAATACCTGTGGTAGAATCCAAAGACTCAATGAACTCCTCTGTGGCATCACCAAGAAGCCCTCTCATGCGATAAATGATTCTCATTGGCTCACCCTTCCAAAAAGAAACACATTGTTTCTCACACTGTTTTCAAAGCCAAAGCACAACCGATACACAAACAACCTCAAATGAAATTACATTAAAATAATATAAACAACAAAAGATGTACCAGAACATTTTTGTTTCTGTAACCTTACCTCATTGGTAGGGCACCAGACTTTCTTGTAGACCTCTGCCACAGACAGATCCAAACTAATGATCTTGTTATTCACGAGAAGCTGAAGAGGCAAACCACACAAAAGTTCAGAGAAAATTACACAAACCTCCTCACAGAAAACATCAACAGAAACATTCTGTTCCCCGCTTTGGTACAAGTTTCCTGCATGCATTAGCTACCTCCATGCCACTGTCGTCCTCTAGCAGTGCCACCAGGTCACAGTCTTGGCAGATCTTGTTTTTGATGTCCCTCATGAGTGGGCCAATGCCAGGTTCATTACTGCTGTAGGGGTTCCCTGGCATGCGTCCCTGCAGAAAGTCCTCCTGCTGTGGGTCCTTTTCCAGAGTCACAAAGAACTCTGTCACCTCGTTCTCCTCCTGAGAAAAAGAGGAAGTGCAAGAGAGAGAGAGAGTAAGTGAAAATAAGCAGTAAGGTTGTTTGTAGAAACTGCATTCGTAACCCAGCATGCCTTTCTGATAAAAAAAAAAAAAAGAACAACAAAGGAGAGGCGCCACTCACAGGATAGATAATGCTGCAGAGTCTCTCAAATATGAAAACAGGAGTGCGGTAGTCATCCAGGTTGTAGCGTTTTGCTGTCTCAATGCACACTGCCATGAATGCTTTTGTCTCAGACTCCGTCCCTATAACAATAAAAGGATGTTAGTATTCCAGTGCAAAATGACAGTCAGTCAGAGACTAAGCTGAATGCTATAGACAGTACCTGTGGTCATGTCCTCCAGCATCTCTAGCAGCATGTCCTGAGTCTCATCGATCAGTTTGGTTCTCTGAACCACCAGCTTCCTTAGACAAAGGTACCCATTAAGCACTGTGCCTACAAGCCGGCTTTTGAAGTGTCGTTTAATGGACTCCACTTCCACAAAGGAGGACAGCAGGCCTAGAGCAAAAATGTTACAGCATTTGACCAACTGTCAGTAAACAGTTCTTTCTTTTTATACAAGAGGGGAAAAAACTTTGGTAAAATCCAAAATTTCTTTTACCTGTGAGACTCTTGAGGGCATATCCTTGCTGCAGGTCTGTACTCAATGTTGCTTCCTCCAGGGCTAAGAGATGGGCAATTTCCTTAAGGAAGAAATAAACACAGAATGTCATATATGGACTAATGTGTAATAAAATTCAGATTATCGACTTTTGAAAAAAAAGCTGCAGCTGTAGGCACCTTGGTGATAAGGTTTCCAATGTAGGGCAAGACACCACGGGCAGCCAGGTACACCTTCCAATGAGCAGGTTTTATAAGCTTCTGGTACAGAGCTAAGTACTCCGCAGCACATTCTCCCGCAATACTCAGCTCATCCAGGTAGCTATATGACAGAGCAGTTCCAGTAAGACACATACATGCAGTCTACCTACAGTCCACTAAAAAGTTCAGTGCTGACTGTCAAATGCCAGCCTGAGAAAACAATACTGTTAAGTTTCTAAATGGCTCTCTTTGAGTAAGACCCTCTTTACCAAAGTGACGCATACCTTGTAAGAAGGTCCAGGACCTGCTGCTTGCGGCTGGGGATGGTCGTCAGGGCCTCTACAATGGTGCAGGCGGCCTGTCTTGCTGCCTGAGTGGCTGGAGTGAAGAGCACCTGAAAAAACCAATGACTGTATTAGTGTGCTTCCCTAAATAGCTACGTGTGAATCAGATGCTTCAGTAGGCCGGACAGAAGCATTTACATAGACTTTACCTGTCTCAACCAGTTGTTGTGGCCCAGTTTAAGCAAGCGAGGGAACAAACCCTCTGATCTTGACCTCATGAACTGCTTCCACTTCCACACATACTTCTCCATCAGGTACTGTCTCCTGATCTCAGCCTTAGTCAAAGGCTTAGAGACAGGCTCTTGACCTGACAGGGATGACAGCAGACAAGACAATTTTTAATGATTCATTTCCTATGTTTTTTGAAAAACTGCAGCACATGGAGGAACACTTACATCTAGCAGGAAGGCACTTTTTCCAGGCCTCATATGATGCCTTAGGATCCTTTTTGAGCCAGAGCTGGGCCTGGGCATGGATCTCATTGCTATATGGCTTGACTGTGGTTAGGGATTCAACAGCAGCATCCTAGCAAAGTAAGAATTACATCAATTAGAATAAAATCATCACTAATTTATTGACAACCTACATGCTCCATGTCAAGAATATTACACAGTACCTTGTTTTTCTTGCTGGTGGGTGCAGGGGGTTTGATGAGTTTCTGTAAGATTCTCAGGCACATGAGAGTAATGTTCTCCACCACTACTGGAGTCTTTATATTGACTGCCATTAGGAACAGACTGAGGGCTGAGGACAGCGTAAAAGAGTGTTTTAGTGCTTAATCAATAGCAAAACATCAGTGACTGACTAAAAGATGAACCAAGATACAGGATATAACTATCAGGAAGAACAATGGCAGGGCTCACCACAGCGTAGTCTCAGCTCCCAGCAACCTCCCTCCTTTGCTATGGAGTCAGTGAGGAGTAGCATTTCATACTGTAGGCTACTGACCTTAAGAGCAAAAACACACAATCGTCACATACCCAAAATAAAAACACAACAGGGGAAAAAAAACCCTGAGATCAGTTAAGGGTCATACCAGGTCAGGGTTGGCCCAGTGTCCCTTCAGGGCTGCTGACACCTTTGCAATGATGAGGTCATTCATTTGCTGTGTGGCTTCTGGGTTATCTCTGCCAAAGTGGTCATTACAAACCATTAACTTCAATACACATCATTAACAGGGCTTTAAAGTCTGCCCTATACGTCTGCCCTTTAAAAGGCAGTCAGAAAAGTCATGTACACGGCCATACCTGGTAAGCAAGCAGATGAGCTGGCGGACTTCTTCCCTCATGGCTCCAGAGCCGCGACGAAGGTTGTACTCAAACAGTTCTCTAATGAGTCCCTGCAATACCAGAATCTGCCTGATGGCAGTGTTGGTGGCCAGTGCACGGAGCAAAGTGATGCAGTGGCCTGTGACTGCAGATGCGCAGCCGTAGCACTTGGTGGATGAGGTGTGTCCACAGCCGAGGACAGAGAGGGCCCGGTACTGACTTGCAGTGAAGGTAGGCTGAGTGGTGGTGCGGGAAGACTTTGTGGCGGCCTCTCGCTGCTGTAAATCATACTCCAGCAGCTCCTTACGGGAAGCCAGCACTTTCTGCATGGGGTGGGTGGGTGGGGGTGGTAAACATGACTGCGTGAAACACTTCAAACTTCAATATAATTTGCATGTTACCTTTTTAACATCAAACATATAAGGAATAATTAACACTACAGCAATAGTCACTTGGACAAATCCAGCCCCGAACTTCTTTTACCTGTATGATTTTGGAGAGCTCATCAAATGAAGTTTTGCAGTCTCCACTGTACTCCTGAGCTAGCTGCAGAATGTACCTGTTCACACTAGCAGTGGAGGTGCCCAGGCCTGCTCCTGCACCCGTGTCATCCTAAATAAAGAGCCCATCATTGAAATATTAACACACAAATTCTTGATACATTTCTTAATCAAAAAGTATTATTTTACATAATAAAGTATTATTATGGCACTTCTAAACCACTTTATAAATAAAACCACCAGGCTTCTATGTTCTGCTTCATACATGGTTCATAAATGTCATCATAATTATATTAGTTAAGCTGCTTGAGCAGTCCTGGTTTAGTAACTGACCTGTGGTTTCTCTGGAGTTGCCTCATTCACCTTGGAGAGCAAACTCTCGAGCTGAGGCCGATGGCCCATGAGTTGGTGGTACACACGATCAGCCTTGTCCAGAAGTGTATTAATGTTGGTCACAGCCTGAACAGAACAAGTTTTAGCACCTTTGTTTAATTTTTATTTTAAGCAGATTAAAAAAGTACTCATCAAAAGAAAGCACTTGCCTTTTTCCTATCTTCTTCATTTTCTATTGGATCCACAGCACAGCAGGGCTTGGCATAGAGCATGAAGTCAAAGCGGGCATATTTACAGAAGCCACAGGCATTACACAAGAAGGGGTCCTTCTCATCATAATTAATGGACCTAGAAAAACATCATGATAAGCAAACAATGAATTAATGTAAATAGGCAAAACCAGCTTACATCCTTGCGTTTGTCACAACCTCTGTACCTGCACTTGTGACACTGGTAAACATTCTCTCCACAGTTGCCACACACTCCTGGGTTGGCAGGTACGGAGGCGCTGCAGCGAGGGCATTGCAGGGTCTCTGTAGATGCCTGGTAGTTCTCATAGAAGTCTGAGAATTCGATCATCAAGTTGGAAGCCACAATAGGGAGAGGGAGGTCAATCTTCACTTCTGTCTGTCCAGGGGTCAACTGCACCCTCTTAGCCTTATGCCAGCGAGCAGGTCTAGAGTGGTCACAAATACAATTCAGATACTTACACACAACAGGAAAAGTCACACATTTCAGCTGTCAATATACAGGAACTGGATGATCATGAACTTACTTGTTCTTGAGCTCCACGATAGCCTGAACAGTCCTGTTGTTGTAGTAGAGATTGATGGTGCGCACCATCTTGGTTCTCTTGAGATCTCCGATCTTTACAGTAACTTTGCTGATGGTGTGGCTGCCAATTAACTTCACCACTTGCTGTGTGGTGGTATAGCGGGTGTCCACTTTGATAGACGACAGCTTGATGTTCTGATGAAAAAAATGGAGCAATCAACACTGACTTCCAAATATAGATTGACAGACATAATGGATTATGTACATACAAAAATGCACTTAAGTAGAATGCTCTGTACTCACAGAGAAGGGCACTTCAGGATTGTTGCACACTAAGCAGGGATCACTTTCAAGGTAAAAGCCATCAAATTCAACCAGTCCAGAGAGGGTGCTTAGGAAGAGAGGGAGAAAAAAAATAAATAAATAATAATAAAAAAAAAAAGGACAATCCATTACACGAAAAAATACACACAGAAATTACACAAAATCCAATCCTAACAGTAACATTTCCAATTCAATGCTCAGTAAACTTACTTGTATATGTTGGAGTTGGGGTGATTGGTGAGTATGTGGTTTTGTGCCCTCAAAATCTCAACAGCTTTCTGAGAGTACTCCTTCAGCTACAAGTATAAAATGGCATCAATAAAACATTAAAAACACTTTTCTCTTAGCTCATAAAAACAATGGAAAAAAAAACATACGAAAACTGGTTTGGCAATTACAAATGTCAGCATGTTACAGCTTATTAATTGTCTTATGAACTGCTGTAAACCTGCTGAGGTGTCATTTCTCTAACACACCTTCTTTTCTGTCTGAGGGGTCTTGAGGGAGAAGTAGCCCAGCAGATCCACAAACTGAGCAGCCTTACGGCCATAAGCAGGAAGCTCAGGCCAGATAGCCCAGGTCAGGTCCAGCAGCAACTCCTGCTGGGATTTGTTGGAGTTCCTGGCAAAGAAAAATATTCGTCATTAACGCAATGCATTCAACAAATCTTAATCATTTAAACTGAGGAATTCAGCTTCTGATTAATCACAAACACAACAGTGGCCAAAGAAGTGGAGAACGTAGGAGTGTTTATGTGGTTGAGCTCTGCAGTGTACCTGTAAATATGCAAGGCCAAACAGTGGGCTTGCCAGCGCACAGAGGAAGAGTTCGACTCCAGCAAGAAGCAACGCAGGAACTGAATCAAAGTCTCTTTGTCCGCAAACTTGTTGAGTTGACTGACCAGTGCTGTGCACAGCTGATCCTCCTGGCTTCCTGCTCCCTCACCTGCACAGGGCAAAACGAGACAAAGCAAAAGAGGGTAAAGAAAAGAAAGAAAGAGAAATGAAAAGACAGATCCATGTGTGGCTTTAGAATTACATCCAAAAAGTAATATTTCTTGTTTGCTCTTAGAGGAATGAATGATGACCTTCTTTCTCTTTCTCCTTGTCCTCCTTCTTGCTCTTCTTGCTGGAAGACTTGCTCTGGGAGGACTGTGAGGCTCCAGCCCCTGTAGCAGAACCTCCAGATGAGGAGGCAGCCAAGACTTTACTGCCACACAGGGCACAGGAGAGCAGCTGCAGGAGCACTGGAGACACACCCTCATCGACCAGAAAACTCACCTGCAGCAGGAAGTACAGCACCGCTGGCGAGAGAAAAAGAAAGAGACACACACACACACACACACACACACACACACACACATTAAGCACTGTATTAGTGTATATATCTGGAGAGCACCGATTTCAAATTCTGTAATGTGATTTAACAGATGCCCAGGATTGGCTAGCATTGCTGTGAATCGACAGGGAGAGAGGGTGACCCTTCCCACTAAATGAGATGATTGCCAACTGTGCTCCCATTGAAACCATGGGTGGCTGCACACCACTGACAGTGCTCTGTTAGTAAAACTAACAAAAGCAACAGCAAAGAGAGAAGCTACAGTTCCCATTCTGAAACCTGATGTAACCTAGCGGTATGAGAGCCAAAGGCTACAATCGCAGAGGAGTTGGTTCATCCAGCCACTGCTGCTCTCACTGGACATCAGTGATGAAAATTAGAAAACATTCACCCTAATGGTATGTTCAGCCTTTGCTGTTAGTTTCATGATCTGGTTCATATGAATGATGAAAATAATTTTATTGAATTACTAAAAGTAATAAACCAATCCTCAGGTTTATTTTCACTGTCAACAAAATGCATTGCTTTTAAGATAGAAAAAAATTGAAAAAGGTTTGCAATTAATCACAAATAAATATAAAAATGTGACTAATCATGTTGAATTACTTTAATCATTTGATAGCCCTTATCATTTTACATGGAGTTGGAAAAAGTTCATATTTATTCAACACTGAATTAGCACAACATGAAAAAGCAGAAAACTTACAATCATCTTTCATACAGAACTTCTGCCAGTTGATGGTTCTCTGTGTGGCTATTTCAGCACATGCTTTCAGGTGTTCCATCTGTAACACAAAATAAGAACAGCAATGAAACCACCTAGGCAATGCCCAAGCAACATACACAGCACACAAACATGCAAAGACATGACACACTGCCAGGGCTTCGCTCACTCACCAGACTAATGAGTGTGTCATACTGCAGGGCAGAGCCAGAGGTTGCTGTGACAATGCCTCCCCTAAGGAAGATGCCTTGTTCTTCCAAAAGTTTCTTGATGCTGCGAACATGGGAGTCAAGCGTGTGAAGGTCTCGCAGCTGGCGATATTTCTCCTTGGAGCCACAGATAAAGAGCAGCAGCTTCCTCACTTGTCTCCTCACAAACGGAGTTTGCTGGATCATCAGGTACTACAGATAGAGGAGAAAAAGAAAAACAGGATCACTATGAAATCAGTACACAGAAAAAGTGAAACCTAAAGAGTGTGTTCCAGTATAGTACAGTCTGGAAGTGATTTGACTGCGTTACCTCAGAGAGAAAATAGAACCAAGAGTGGTCAAAGATGGGGGGAGGAATGCGGGGGTTCGTGTCAGCAATCTTCTTGATCTGATAGGGCAGGCGCAGCACCATTTCAGTGAGGAGTTGAGAGTATGCCTCAAACACATCGGCAGCATGACCCTGAGAAAGCAGCACAATAGCATTGTTAAAATTGCTTGAAAAAGGGTTAAATCGTTTTTAATACTTTTACCAATGTCATAAAGTCAAATATGAATGAAGGGCTGTTCCTAACTGTTTTAACTGCCTCTAATTTAAACTATTGGCCTTAACACAAGTGTCAAGTGTCCTACTGCTCTGGACTTGTAAGAAAGTAACCAAATGAATAATCAACTACTTTTTTAGTATAACCACATGCAAGCATAAAATGATAGTTCTTAAGAATACCTTAACATACTGGCGTAAGAAGAAGGGGCTCATGTCAGGGGGAGAGGAGGAAGTGTGGGGTTTGAGGAGCTGACTGGCAGCTGCTGGCTCTTCCTCTCCCTGCTGAGTCTTCCAGAACTCCAGTAGAGACTTGAGCACATGCAGGCAGTAGTCTATTGCTCCCAGACTCAACAGGGCAGTTGCCGTGGCATTTGAGATAAGCGAAGAGGACTGCAAAGGATGGAAAATGTAAGATGTAAAATGTAAAAAGGTAAACATGTTACTGTGCACAGTGAAAAATGTAACTCTGGAAGATACAACATTGACATGATAGGGCACCTCTGAAGAAGACTTGGAGCCAGACTTTGTGCGTGACATGAAGACACTGAGCAGTCTCATGATGACCAGATGCACCTCATTTATTGCGCTGCGTTCATTCTTCTTTGAGACATCCTGAAAGAAAACATGGAAATGTTTAGGACTCTGGTAGATTTGAACATGATCAGCAACCAAGACTCTATGATTTCTGTGTTTACAGCATAAAGACAACTTTGCATTATTTCTTGTAAATCTAGACCACTGTTGCCAAATTCTGACCTTCTTGTGCATGCCAAGCTCAGCAATTAGCTGAGCCAGAAGGTCATCCAGTGCTCCCTTGTCTTTCTCATCCTCTCCATCTAGGTCAGCGGTCAGCATGAGGATCACCTGCATGTATGGGATTGCACGCACCCCACCCACAGTGTGCAGCTGAGGCAGGTGCTGCAGAAGGCGCTCCAGCAGCATCAGGCGCACCATGTGCAGTCTAGAGATAAGGGACACTGAGTTTTTAAACTGTATCTTGGAAACAGCAGAGACTGTTAGACTGGTAACTGTAGAGGTAAAAACACCCTGCTTAATTAGCAGCTCTCTCTATGTCAAAAATGTCTATTTATTTCAGTGCTCATAGTAAAGCACTGACTTGGTATTTATTTGTAATTGGTTATCAGTAATTGGTTGATTTTCCTGAAAATTACTGGTTTTAAATCAGCACTTTTCAAGTGGCTGCCCAATCTAACTTCAGGTCAAAACATTTTTAAAGAATGTGCTATCCTCTATGCTAAGTGGCGATCTAAATGGCTGCCTATATCAAAACAGTGAAATATGTAAAACAACTGGTTGCAGAGAACTGTTTATGAATATTTTATGTTGGTTCATGGGTTCTCTGACAGCTGCATCTAGTCACCGCTTTTTGTTCTTGTTTATTGTTTCTTATGATCTGTTTAAAGATGCAATAAGGTCTGCGGTGTTACCAAAGCAAGGTAATCTTGTACAGCTTGCATTAGAGGTCTGCTATTTCTAAGGAGAGATATTTAATGCAGTAGTTTTTTTTTTTTTTTGAATGACTGCCTACATAAATATCACAAGCACACACGTTCTTCTCCGGCTGTTAATCTCTCGTGCACGAGAGATTACTCCCTCTCCCTCTCTAGTACAGTCTAAAACCTAACACACTGGTCACATACAGTGTAGAACTTGCAATATGACAGTATCTTTATAGTTTACCATAGATGCAATCGTTGTATAGCAGCTACCAGCCAGAAAGAAGTGCCAGTGTCTAAGCACTTCCTTGAACCAGGCTAAAGCAAATGCTCAGCTTTCAGAAGTTGTTTATACTTCATTTTCTGTCAAACTCAAGTAAAGCACAAGCTGTGTCTGCAGTACTCCCTTTCTGTTAGTGTGTGAGAGCAGGCTCAGGTTCAAACTTAGCAGAACCGCTTCGGTCTGTAATTTTTGTTTTATCTGTGCATTGGCCATGTGTATCCACATAAAATCTAAGGAATGTCCAAACATGACTTTGTTTCCTTTTCACTAACACAGCCTAAAGGACCACTGACTATTACAGGACACTGCACCCCCTTATGGTTGCCCAGCTGTTACATTAAAGAGCTAATAAACTAAATGGAAAATTGTAATCATGAAAAATTGTTACTTGATGTCTCAAGAATTTATCTATAAATCATGCCAGCCAATACTCAATATGGTGAAGTTTTATGACATCCTGAGCTGTTAAATAAAAGACAGACCTGTTGCTGGTGTGGATGTCCCCCTCATTCTCTCCCTCTCCTTCAGAGCCTTCTCCTTCCTGCTGGGCTGTGGTGGTGCTGATGGCTCCTGTGCTGGAGCTCACACTGCCTGGTCCTGCAGGGTGGCCTTCCACAGCAGTGTCTCCGTAAGCACTGCTGCGCCCAGACACTGCAACACACAATTTCTAGCATCAGCCTAAGGCTTGGATAGCAAAACAACAACAATTTAATTAGAAGATGGAGAAGCAGTCTCTTATTAGACTGTCACCAATAAATGGCACTTAAGCCATCATGACGGGTGAGTATATTTATTATGGAAGCTCTGCTTACACATTTCCTCCCTACCTCGACCCTCACCGTTATGTTCTCCAGCCACTGAGTCGATGGCACTGCCTCCACTTTCAGAGCCCACGCTGCCCCCGTGCTCGGCGGGAGAGGTGCGCAGCGTGGAGCCGTCTGTGGCCGCTGTGCTCCCCTCATCATCCGAGGCTGGGGCTGAAAGTATAACCAGAGCTGTTACAGGAAAAAAACAGCAGGCTTTGCAAGGGGGTTTTCTAGTGGTTCACACATATAAACAACAGTATTTATAAGCATGCCATTGTTTCCTACATGTACAGGGGATGACATAAAACTCTACACAAATACTACAAAAACTCACAATTATTACTGAAATAATTTATTAAGAAATCTGTAAATGCTACATCTATTGTAAAGACTAGACAATAAGTAAGCCAAATATTCCTTCCTAAGAAAAATCATACTGGAAATATGATGTGAAAGTACTACAAACATAGAACGACTACATTAGGAATGGATCTATGAGGAACACTACTGAAGAGGTGGGTGCGGTTACCTGATGCAGTCGTATCTGACAAGGTGCCTGCGTCCAGAGAAGATGAACTGGGGGCCTGGCCAGAAAGGCCTAGACTCTGCAGGCCCAGGGCACTGCTGCTACTACCTGCACCATTAACACAGACACACGATTAAAAATCTTACAGCACAGAGGTGCAGCTGTCTATGCACATATGTACTACACCAGTGGTTTTTAAACTGCATGCCAGTCGTAATGCTGGGGGGCTGTGGACTTTTTTTTCCCCATTTTATCAGGATTTTTTTAATACATTAGGTAATCATTTAACCAAATGTATCATTCAACAATACGTAATCATTTAACCAAATTTTATGTATGACTATTTGCAAAAATAAATCATCATATTAAGCTCAGCCTAATTTTTAGTCTGGCAAAATGCGAGCTATGTTAACATTTTTAGTGCAAGTGTAAAAGTAAAAGATTTCTCTTTTCATTCATATGGAATGTTACAACAGCGTCTTTCAAAAAGAAAGATCTTGAGGCTCGACCATCTACAAGTGAAACAGGCACCGCATCTCTGACTGAGAAAACCAAGCAAAAATTTAAATGAAGAAAAATACAGCCATGAGCACAGACGGTTCCATTACCTCATTCAAGGGCTGAAGCTTTATGAGAGCTTTAAATAAAGCTTTGAAGCCTAACAAATACACTTCTAAACCTATTGAACTGAACGAGACCTCCTTTCACAACTTCAATTTCTTCCACACGCCATCTAGCATGTGGTAGCTGCCAAACAACATCAGCTAACTCATAAGATCTGTTAGAAAATGTTACATTATTTTTTGTGTTTATTGTGTTGTGTTATAAAATCACACAAAACTGACAGGCTACACTGATTTAAAAATTATATTTGTTTGCAATGTCCTGGTCAGTAAAATCTTGAGGGCAGTGGAAGCTTCTGTGGTCGACTGTGTGGGCCACGAGTTAGAAAAGGCTGGGAACCTCTGTACTGTTGATTTACATTTTAAATAGTATTGTGATACTTCCACTTTTTGAGGAGGAGACTGCATGACCTGAATAAGCTTGTTCTCAGCAATGTCTTAGCAACACAGTGAGTTATACTTATTCACTTAAATCTAATATGCAATTATCTCAGATTTTACCTGGTATGGGCAGAATGCTTTTAAGATTCCATCTGATATTGCTATTGTGCACAATAAACTTCATACATTCTAAATTCACACTACTGATAATACCATTTAGTACAGCATCATAAATAAGACTAGAATACAAGTCTTGTTTATGTGAATCAGCAGTAGACAAAACATTAACCTTGCTGATCCTGCTGGAGACTAAGAGCTATGGCCAGTTCAACCATGGTCTCATCATCAGCATCAGGAGGGATGTCGAGCATTGGGGGGAAGCCCTCTGCTCCAGCCAGGAGTGCCTCAAGAGGAGATGGGTTTCCATTGTTCACATTCTCTGCTGTTTCCAAAACCATGGACTCAGACTGCTCATTACAGACAGAGGAGGAAAAAAAAGAAAATGAAGACTTACATAATAACCATCTTCATGAGTCACAGTGAGTATTCATCCTAAACTGAACAGCACAAGCAAATGATCTAATAAAAACAATCATTGGGCAAAACTCACCACCATCTCAAAATCTCCATGGTCCACCTCACTTTGTTCTTGGCTCTCCTGTCTGCCACTCTCCCCTCCTGTCATTCCAGAAGGCTGCATCTTATCATCAGCATCATCATCGTCATCATCATCTTTATCACCTGGGGGAGTGGCAAGTAAAGTCTCATGTTTAAATATTTAATGGTAGAAGCGCCATTATACTCTCACCAAGCATTTAATTAGGAACTCTATACTAATAATGGGTAGGGCCTCCCTTTGCTGTCAAAATGGCCCCAATTCTTCGTGGCAAGGATTCAACAAGATGTTAGAAACATCCCTTTGAGATTCTGGGTACATGTTATCACGACTGCATCATGCAGTTCCTGCAGATTTTGCAGGCGCACTTTCATGCTGTGAGTCTCCTGTTCTACCACATTCCAAAGGTCTTCTACTGGATTCAAATTTGATGACAGGGAAGGCCACTCACTAAGCTCACTGTCATGTTCAAGAAGTCAGTTTCAGGTGAATTTTGCTTTGCAACATGGTGCATTATCAAGCTGGAAATAGCCATTAGAAGATTGGTAAATTGTAGCCATGGAGGAATGCACATGGTCAGTAACAATACTCAAATAGGCTGTGGCATTAAAGCGATGGTTGATTAGTATTCATAGGTCCAAAGTGAGCCAAGAAAACATTCCCCACACTATTACACAACCTCCACCAGCCTGGACTGTTGATACAAGGCAGGTTGGGGCCATGGATTTTTGCTGGTGGTGCCAAATTCTGACCCTACTAGCTGTGTGCCTCAGCTGAAATCGAGATTCATCAGACCAGGCTACAGGTTTCCAGCCAACAACTGTTCAGTTTTGGTGAGCCTGTGCCAACTGCAGACTCAGCTTTCTGTTCTTGGCTGACAGAAGCGGAACACAAGGTGGTCTTCTGCTGTTGTAGCCCATCCGCCTTAAGGTTTGACAAGTTGTGCATTCAGAGCTGCTTTTCTGCTCACCACAATTGTACATAGAGGTTATCTGAGCTACCGCAGCTTTTTTGTCAGCTCAAACCAGTCTGGCCATTCTCCATTGACCTCTTTCATCAACAAGGCGTTTCTGTCTGAAGAACAGCCATTTGCTAATTTTTTTATTTACTGCACTATTCCACAGACTGTTGATGTGAAAATCTTAGGAGAAAAGCCGCTATAGAAAAGACCAAACCAGCCCGTCTGGCACCAACAATGATGCAACGGACAAAGTGCTCAGGAAGTGTATATCCAAAGAACACTGACCAAGTGTAATGTTCATAACTCAGATCTTACCCATTGGAGTGTTGGAGCGCGGCGGAGAGGGCAAAGTCACATGCCTGCGCTTGTTCCTGGGTCTCAGTACTCTTATAAGGGCCTGTTTGCAAGCAAAGCTCACAGAGGTGTCCTATAGCAATAGATGATAGGAATATTACATACAGAAAACATGGATTCTGCCTATACGATGAACTGACTGAATTTATTGTGGTGCTAAAGAAATGGAAATTCATAAGAAATAAAAATAGATTTAAAGGATGACCAAATCTTACAGGACAGAGCAACATCTGCATGTAGATTTTGGAGGCCACATTGATGTAGTCCAGCTCACATGTGCAATAGCCATGAATGATGTCCACTAGTGCATTCACAGTGGCTTCAATGTGGGTCAGCCCTGAGAAAAGGGAGGGGAAGAGGGGGAAGGAAATAAATAAATAAATAAATAAATAAATAAATAAATTCAATGTTTCATGCAAACTATAACAAAAATACAAAAATGAAAAACAAATTAAATACAGCACTCTGAGATCAGCCTGCTTACCAGGTAAACAGGCAGGAGCAAGGAAAGCATTCTTGGGTTTCAGTGCATGAAGCTTCCAGAAGTTACTGACCAGCTGCATGATAAAATTACAGCCTTCAGCGTCAGCTTGTTTTAGGCCATCCTTACCATCTTCACTCAGATCTGAGAGAAGAAGAGTTGTTTACAGTGAAGAAAGAGACTTTCCATATAACGACAAAAATAAATAGCTGCAGCTTCTCTGCAGGACCAATATTATTATTAACAGCAGCAAGAAAGTACTATTAAAAATGTCCAGTGCTGTGTACCAGTTTCAGCATGAGACATCTTTGACTCTGTAAAGTGCACTAGGTTATTGGGTCTCATGATGGCAATGGAGCGGGCGGTTATCACTAGTCGCTGGAAAACATCAGGGTCCAAATCCTTTCCATCCTTACTGCAGCTGTTCAAACACTGCACTGCATTGCTCAGTAGAGATTGATCCTAAATAGAGAAAAAGCCTTAGTGAGATAAATATTTAATAAAACAGAAAAGGCAAAAAAGACAAAATCAACACAGGTTAGCTGTTTATATAGTGGTGACAGGGCCAGTACCTTGTGGTTGTGGTAGGCTGTGCGGCTGGTGTGTAAACTGGCCAGAAGGCCTTTGGTCTGTTGCTGGACTCCAGCAGGAGTTGGCATGGATAGTAGAAGAGTGGCCAGCTCTAGGGCTGGACCTTTGCTTTTTTCCTAAAAAAAAAAACAAATCATTAAAAAGAGCTAAATCAATTTCAGATGACATTTTGTTTTCTCCTTAACAGGAACCATTAAAACTGGTGCACTGGTTCCTACAATGGCCAACCAAATGAACAGGTTTTGATTACCTTTTCACTGGCACAGCCAACAGCAAAGCAACTCTCCAGAGCTTCCAGGGAGCTGACCACTAACCTAGGAACAGCAAAGGAGATTCATGCCATGTTGATGTAAATGTAAATGCTTCAAAACCACACAATTCAGAGCATTGCAAATAATTACCAAATCTCAATTATATCAAATATATGCTTTATGTTATAAAAAAACGTTATTAAAAGCATCTAAGTGAGCAATAACATGAGACACCTCAGAACACAAAAAACTTAAATACTCTTACAACATTTTTCCTATGCTATAGCAAGCTCAGTGTAACTGCATTTTTTTGCCTTGTGTGCTCACACACACACATACACACACACACTCTCTCTTTCTTTCTCTCTCTCTCTCTCGCGCACACACATATTTGCAAACAAACACCATGCAAACAAGCAGAGAAAGGGCGGTTACTAACCGGTCCAAGGTTGATAAGGACTCAGTTTCGCAACTTTTTTTTATTGTTTTTGGGAGCAAAGAAAAAGAAAAATGTGTGAGGATCACAGAAAGAAACAAGTAAATAAAATGATTTGTATGTAACAGAGGACATGTAAGCATGCAAGCACAAGTCATTATGAAGGCAGCCATGCACTGGACGCACCACACACTCCTCCATTCTGCACCTTTCTGCCCTCCTTCTTGCATTGTGTATTAATAAAACCTTTTTCAGTGTCAGCGCATTAAAATAATTTAGGGTGATGTTAAAAGATCACATGAACAGGTGAACATTTACATTGAGGACAGAGAAATGGAAACAAAAAGAAAAGGATTATGAGTTTTGAAGATGTACCAATATTACTGAAGAGCTGATTTTGAGCTCAATCAGTTAAAAAGGAACAGAAAAGCTGCAAACTAGACTCACCTCTCCAGTACTGTGCCACTGGTGGAGGTTGGAGTTGTGATGTCACTGTCTCCCGTGCCATTGCCCTGGTTCAGATTGGGGCTGCAAACATTGTTGACAGAGGCAGAAGGAAAGTCCTCTGGAGGTTCATCAGGCCATCCAAACTGCTCTTTGGTTTTGCCATAGATCTTAATAGAGTCTAGCATGGTGACTCCAGCAGGGTCTACTGATGCTCCAACTAAGGCACAGAGAGAGAAAAATGTAAACGAATGAGTAAATGTAAATAAATTAATTCGTTGACATTATATTCTTGCAAGATGAAATTCACAGCAGTACGAGTGATGCAGCAAGCACTTACTGAAAATGGAGAGTTTCTTGTCAGCCTGCAGGGCCTCCTCACGTGTGAAAGGCAGATCAAACCACCGAGAGCGAGTCAAATTCATCTGCATGGTGCGGCCAAAGATTTCAATGTATGATGGAGCCCTTTCGATGGCCTGAGTGCCAACCTGCACCCTCATTCCCGTCATCACCATAGAGTTGTTATTGTTTACCACCTCCACTGTGAAGCCACCAGGCTGAAAAGAGGGGAGGGGGATATACGCTGTTGGTTGTACACTGTAATACACTCATGTTGTGAAGAAAACACTGTTTACTATTGAATGAACTACCAAAAAAGTGCTTTTTTCTTACCTTGGTGTTGGCCACATACATCCCTGAGGAGTTGAGGCGGTGTTTGATCTGTTGCCCGTTGTAGACCTGCAGCAAGTCGTTGCCCCCAAACTCCACTTCCGTCAGCTGCTGGTTGTGTTCAAAGAAATCTACAGGAAAGGTTACTTGGCTGGACGTGCGTGTAGCTGCAGTAGAAAATTTAAGACAGAGAAACAAAAGAGAAATAAATAAATAAATGCACAGAGAAGGCTAACTTAGGACAAAGCTGTAGTATGATGAGTGGGAGGTGGAGGCATGACTCACTGGCGGCGGCAGCTTTGCGTTTGCGGACAGGCTTCATGATGCTAATGACACTGCTAGGCTGAAGAGAGGGCTGGAGCCAGTAGGATGTGTTCTCCACATTGGCCATGTAGATGCGCAGGCTGCCATCTTCACACAGCAGGATCATAGTGGTACGCTGCTGCTCGTTACTGGCTGTGTGACGGATAGCCACCATGTCCTGAATCTGAGAAGCAGACAGACAAGGTTCTCTTAACTAATGAGTTCTGCAGTCATTGGCAATCAGTCACAATAATTAAACCAACGACAGGTGTCAGTCATAGCTCTACTCTGACTGAGGACAGACCTTGGCTTTGGCTGGTAAAGTTTTAATCTCCTGGATCAGGAAAGTGTCTGGTTTCACCATGATGACAAGAGGGATCCCTGTGGTCTGCTGCACACAGCACACCAGCCCTGGGTGGTTCATTACCTCAGACCACTGGCACAGAGCTGGAGATGTCTTACTGCCTCCGTTTGACCTGCAGAGAGGAGTGAGAGAATTTAGTAGTAGTAATAATAATAATAATAAAAACAAAAACACAGTCTATTTAGTGAGAAGTTTTATAAAACAACATACTGCCAAGGTCCTAAAGAACAAGAACATTATTCTGATCCTCACGCTGTAGGTACTTAAGTTAAAATATATTATCCAGTCATGTTATTGAAGAGAACTTGCGTACCCTTTGACATTTATTGTAAATAATCTCTGTGTCTCCATGCTGCTGCGGTTCACTGTGGCAGCAAAAGACTTGCCCTGGCTGTAACTGAAGAAGAGCATCTGCAGGACATGGGAGTAATACACAGACACCCCCCCTCCTGCCACCTGACCATTGCTGTCCTGTGGAGGACCGCAAACAGGAATGTGTTAAGCTCTGAACCATTACGCAAAACCTAAGCAGATCTTTATATCTACGCAATACAGGTAGTGATGACTCAAGTACCTTCAAGTCTTCATGGGTGATCTCAAGCACATTGGTAACATAGAAGGGGCCATGCTGTGCACTGCTGGACTCATCCATCACCTGTGTGTACATGTAGCCAGCTGAGGACATTATGACAATGATGTTTTTTCCCTCTTCATTGAACAGGAATGTTGCATCTCTGATTTTTGAGCTCGGCAAAAGGAAGTAGTACATGGGGCTGAGGGCATCCACAGACAAGTCATAGATCTAGAAAGAGAAGCAGCACTGCAGTTAGAAAACATCACATCATCAAAGATGTTTTTTGCAATTTTGGGCGAGCACAAAATAACAGAAGTAAAAATAAAAATGATTCACCTTAACAAAGTCAGCTGTGATAATGGCCAATTCAGTCTGAGAACCAGGCAGCCAGATGGCCTTAATGATGAAGTTTCCAGTGGCCAGCTGGGGGTGCAGTACGAGGTGGTCAGACACTGAGCCTGTACTGCTGAATGTGAGTACATGACAGTCCTGCAAAAGGCAAAGACATAAGAATGTGCATGCATGTATTATAAACGTTTCCTCCATACAAAAAACAAGTACTATACACAAATGTACTTGCATTACCTTGAGGCCACAAACAGCTAGGTAGTCCTCATTACAAGGGTTTCCAGTCAAGCTGAGGACAGTAAAGGGCACAGGTGCTGAGGCCAGGCGAGTTAGAGTCAGTTTTCTTTTACTGGAGTCTGCCTGCTTCAGGAGGGCTGACAGTTGCAGGACAGTGATCTTAAAGAAAAACAACATGATAAATTACATTTATACCGATAACAATAGTAAACAGTACCGTACAAATAAATTATTTTTCAATAATTCAGTATTTGGATCATTTTGCAATCTCGCCAGTGACAAAGAGGTATCAACTATGCTTGGAAGCTTACCTTGCCCTTCTCATGGCTGACAGCGAGGTGTTGTCTGCGCCCATGGGGAGAGGACAGCACACACATGGCCACACGCCGCAACACATGAGCACTGATGAGCTGTCTGATGGTCTGGCCCTGATCACCACTGTAGTTCATCCTCACATTCTCAAATGCTCCCTCCTGAGAGCCTAGAGTGGGAACCTGAACAGAAACAAAAACATGTTCAGATCAATTCTAATAACAAATGCGTTTAACAAATGCATTCACCCTGTATAGTATGGATTGCATGTTTGCACTGAAAAATATTCGAGCCAGCTAAATTAAACTGAAGTCTGGACGATCTGCACTCTTTGCTGCTGCTCATGGGTGCACTCGTACCATGAGTTGGTCGGTCATCTCCACAGTCTTGTCCTGGGTGTGCAGTTCATTGAGTGCATGTTGGGCACGGCTGCTGCTGCCCACAGCAGAGGCCTGCTGGAAGTTCGTCTGGATGGCATCCATGAGAAAGATCAGCAGGTCCAGCACCAGAGTTGCCGTGGATGAACTTGACTGAGAGAAACATTTACAATGCATGAGTGAACTGGTCAGCCAAGCCCATTACTGAATGGAAACAAGAGTCTTACATTATAAGTAACCAATACGTTGGACGGTATAACAGTAACAAGCTATAACATAGTATTAGAAAAATGAAGAATTATGAAATGTGTCTCGTAATTATGCCATGTCAAATTTATATTCGAAGTCAAAACGGGCCTTTTAGCTGTGGTCCGCCCTATATATTATTCACCCTCTGCATTTTTATAGTCAATCAGTATCAGAATATGTAAAACACAGCAGTATCATACGTGTTTGTTTTCAAAATCTGACACGCTTTTTTTGGTCCTTAAAAAAAAAATCAGACCATGTAAATAGGCCTCATTTGTCAATTATGAGAAAGATTCTGCCGCCCAACTCAAAATACATACATGATCTCAAACTTTATCAGTGCTATCCTTCTAGTAGGAGACCACAGTTTTGCCACTCTTACCACTTGGGCAAGTAGGTCTTCTCTGCAGCCTTCAATGTTTTTGCACACACTGCTTTTCTTGGGTTTCTCCTCATCGCTGCTCTTCCCATCGCAGATGGTGACTTTGCCCTTGTCGGTGGACGATGTGCTCTGGTGGCGAATGGCACTCTCAGGCATCCGCAGCTCACTCTGAAAGGCTGAGGACTCCTTCATAGTGGAGCTCATTCCACTGCTGGGGCTTCTTTTCACCAGAGCCTGTTATACAGAAAACATATGGGGCCAAATTTAATTACACATACAACATGTTAGACTTTAACAAGTCAAAATAACTTATTTATGTAAAAGGGGATATTATGGAGTGCAAAGTGACCAAACTTTACTTGTAACATTAGAAGTCAGGGTTAACTAAAAAGATTTCTGCATGCTGTGTGTTTCCATTAAGGAGGCATGCATGAGATGTTATGGCATAATGCAAAAGCTAAAGCATTTTCAAGTACCTAGGCCAAAGTGTCAATGTTAATACATAAGCAAAATTCTTCTATTATCAATTAATCACCAATTAATAATCAATTAAATGTAAAGGTACATTGTTATGGAGGAAGAACTTGGATGGCTCATGGAAAAGAAAGACTGAACGTCCTGATGGGCTGAGGGACAACTCAAATCAGTTGATGACAATCAATGATAAATGAGTTGCAAGCCAAAGTTACCGCTGTTGTTCTTTTCCCATGATGACCTGAAGTATTCGGTCTCACCTGGCAGCTGCCATCCTCCTTGGCCCCGCAGTCACAGAAGAAAGAGCCGTATTTGGCATAGGAGATCTCGTGGTCTTTGTGACAGACCTTGGCACACACTGTGCACACACCTACCCCATCCACCATCTTACAGGTGTGACAATGATACCTGTATAGCGAAAGGAGAGGAGTAAGGCCGGGTTGTAGTTTTAAACAGGTATAGTGTTTCATTGGAGGGAGTGGGGACGTAAAGTGGATGACAAGTTCTTCCATTACCAGTGCTGATTCATGAACTCCTTCTGCGTAATGGTAAAGGTACAGAGCTTATTGCAGAGGGAGTCCTCATCCTAGAAGACAAACGGAATCTCAGTTATAAAGCCAAGAAGAATTAAGCTTTGGTCAACACAACAAAGGCCTGAGTGCAGCATCAGTGCAGACATTCACTAAAGTCCCATTAATATCCGATCATTCTCAGAATCTGAGAGCAGTTTCCTGACCGAGTCTTCAGCCTGCGAGTCCTCCTCCTCAACAGCCAGCTCCTCCACCCAGTCGGAGTCCACCTCAATGGCCTTCTCCTCTCCCTCCATCAGTAGCTGGGATGAGCCTTGCCCGCTGCTCTGCCTCAGAGCATTCATCACGTCTGCCAGGTAGGAGATGATGTGGCATGCACACTCCAACATGCTGGCATGCTACAACACAGTATAAAAATAATCAGCAAACTTTCCTGCAAATATCAAAAGGTAACAATCAATCTGAACAATTAGCCTTACTTTGCCTTGAGAAACATTGGCGGTGACTTTCTCCACAACATTCTTCTGATACAAGTACTTTTTACTAAAAAAAAGAAAAGAAAAATGTTAATTTAACCACATTCAGCAGACAAATAGCATTACACAAATTTCCACTGTGATCCTTTGTCATTTCTCACCATCTAGTGAGCCAGTCAATAGCAGCCCTGTGCAGCTGCAGGTGTCCTGCTCCTTGCCCAGCACTGGCCAGCGTGGCCATGATAACCATGAGCTCAGGAAAGCCAGCCCCATCACCGCTGGCCAGCATCTCAGTTGCCATGGGGATAAGGGTGCTTAGTAGCACAGTGCACACACCCTCGCCCACCTGGCTATTGTCCCGCACAATGTAGGTGGTAAGAAGCTGCAGCAGCTGTCTGTTCTCCTGCACCGTGTCCAGCTGGTCTGAGTCTTTGGGTGGTGAGGCAGTCATACGAGTCAACCATGCCTGCAGCCTTGATGGTTCCACGCAGGCCAGCTGGGCCAGGGAGCCACACAGGCTCAGCAGGCTGGGGTTAGGGCTCTTCTCCGCTATAAACACACATTTACAGATACATTAGACAGGACATAATTGGAGTACATGGCTTAGAGACCAAACTTATATTGCATCTGGCTACTTACTCAGCTGGAACAGCTTAGTGAAGAACTTCAGAACCCTGTTGCAGAACTTGGCAGATAGATTCTCATTTGCAGTTGCCATCATGATTTGTACCAGTTCGCCACTGGGAGGAGGAAAACAAATTGAGCATAGTACTGTTCATTTTCCTTGGTAAAGAAAGAGTAAGGTTGGGCTGTGGTGTACCTGAAAGAAAAGAATTCCTCCATGGCTTTGCGGACCTGACTGCTCTCCAACTGCTTCTCCAGGTACTGCAGACATTCCTCCAGCACAGACTCATCCAGACCACTGTGAGACAAAAGTAACCAGACCAAACACTAAGCATTCCTGAAAAAAAAAATCCACTTTATTGTAGTGGAAGTATTTTTGTTCTAGGGGGAAATATTGTCAGATCTAAAATTTATAAAACGCATCAACAATGTGTTTTTGATCTTGAATAATGTTAAGCACCTCACCTGTTTGGGTCAGAGTGGTTGGCAATGATGTTGTAGCAGCCTGTGACGAGTCGCTCGTATACACGAGCCAAGAAGGCATCAGACTCAGCGGGACCCAGGATCCTCTCTAAAGATGTGCTGCAGATTTCAGCAACACTCTCTGTGCTGCTTTCCAACAGAAGTGGCAAAAGCGTGCGAATCACCTGGGGAGGGTTCAGCTCCTCTGTGCTGTAGAAAAATATGTTTAAGGTCACTGGCCTACAAAAATACATTCACTTAGATGTGTTTGTTTTTACTTTTATCTCTGCCATCACATCAATTAACACCAAGTACTTCGAGTTCTGCATCTTATTCCATACAGTAAAGTGGAATACAGGTGAATGCAGTGTTGTGTTCATATCACTTACACAATGAGGTCCCCAGTGAGGCGCACCAATGTGAGCAAGATGTGTTTGAGGGAGGAGGCCAAGGGCAGAGACTGATTACAGAGTGTTCCCAGGTGGGCTGCTTGGATAGCACTGATATAGCTCTCTGATGGAATGGTGTCATTAGCAAAGGCATTCCGCTGTGGGGAAAAGAACCTGGGATTAGACTGCTGTAGGCTTGGCTGATGTTATTCACAGTTAAAATACACTGTCAGAGCACCCTTACCCATGAACCAATGTTGGGGAACTCGTTAGTATGGATGTTGTTCCATGTCTCACATAGCGTTTGAACAGCAGATGGTAGATTCTGCATTAATGGCTGGCCTGAAATCAAAACAAAGAGTAGTAGCTGTAGATACTGCACTTTTGAAGGTTTCAAAGAAAGCATAGACTGGTTTTCCAGTAAGCCACAGATTAGAATTAAGGATGCATCGATACTAATTTTGGTATTGGGCCGATACCACACTCATTTACTCATACTCACAAAACTGCACCGATACCAACATTCCGATTCGAGCTGATACTGCATGACATAAGTCAAGTGTATGCTGCCACACTAATGAACAAACGCGATGAATGAGGCTCTGCTCACACAGAGAACAGTTACTGACTCCATCACAGTTGGACCTAACCTACACTGGAAGATATTAGCCTGTTTTTAAACACACACAATCACAACTGCTTCACCAATGAAGCGAAGAGTGAAGAAACAGCCCACAGAGGACAAAAGCTTCCAAAGCTCCAACAAAGTCTCTGGATGGCATTGGGTTAACAAATTACTCAGTCTCAAGCAAGTCAAGAGAAGGAGGAAGACTGCAGTGTGACTCGAGTATATACAGGCTCGAATTCATCATACACTGACTGGTGTCACGAGGTGACAGTTTGGCATACTGTCCCGGTCTGCAGTCTACATACTAAAACCATGAAGTAGTCATAAACATAGAATAATGCTATTCATTCATGATTATTTAGCTGATACTAGTTATAATCACTGAACCTCAAAAATGGCCAATACGTTTTTTTTGACAATTTGTACACAAGCCTTATTTGTGGGTGTATTTTACTTGCATTATTCATGCATTTAAAGAGCTAAGTTCTAGCACCGGTGTCAACCTACAGATGGGTGCAGCTATACAGTCATCTAGCACCACAGGAAAGCAAAAGAGAATGCTACTAGCGCAAATAATCCTTACCAAGAACATTGGCTTTGCAGCGTGTAGAGCCGATAGACAACACAGCTGCATAGCCCTGCAGTTTGGCTTCTGTTGGCTTGTTTTCTCCATCTTCAGGGAGGCTCATTAACAAATATGATCTATGCAAGCAAACAAGACAGACAAATGTGTTAAACTCAGAAAAAAGAACAGCATACAGCAGTATTCACAGTTGAATGTGCATTAGAAATAATAATGTTAAATAATAACGTTGCTTCAATAACACGATCCACAGAGAGAATAGTATGGACCTGGTAAAAGCCGTGTAGACGTCGATAAGCTGCAGTGTTGCAGGCAGTAGGTTCTTGGTAATCTCAAATGATTTGTGCGTGTCTGTCTCTGCAGCCACCTTTGAGAAATGCTCATTACGAGAGACCTGCACTTTTGAGATGACCGCATCCAATGTGTATATGGTCTGCAGGGAAGGAATCTGGTGAAGAGGCAGGATGCTGTTGGGGTCCACACAACAGAAAGACGAGATCTAAAAGAGAGAAACGAGACCCTTTAGCCATGTGTTTTTATAGTATAGCACAAATGAATGCTAGGATCAGCTGCCTGTACCTGTCTGGCAATGTACTCCTCAGCAAGCTCTACGTCATATTTCACTGCACTGCATTTGGAGGACACCACTTCAACCAGGGAGGTTGCATGGTCGGCTTTCATTCCTTGTTTCACCAAGTGTTCCTGACAGGGTTAGGGAAATACCATTAGAATTCAGAGGTAACTCTTCAAAAGAACTTCAACCTTCTGTAGCAAAAAAGTTCTGGTCCAAAAGTTGGGAAACTCACTTTGATCCAGTTGACATATGTGCTGACTCCTAACCGCGATGACCACCTAAGGGTGTGCAGGATGTCACTCTCACTTGGGTCACTGTTCCCTGTCTTTAGTTGCTCAATATAGGCTTTAGATGGGGGTAACACTCCCAGAATCCTCCACAGAATCAGAAAATAATACTGGAGGGAACATGCCTCCTGCAGGAAATAAGTAAGAGTAATGTTACGGGCAACCAGCATTAATCAGCACAAATCGCTATAAAGCAACGTTTCATAGGAATTAACTAGGAAATATAAGCATAAGACAATATAGATGAAAATGTTTAGAGATACTAGATACACAGACAAAAACCTGCTCTATGGTACCAACATTTAGGTAGCATCTAAGAGCATGTCTGTGGCTGTTGCCCATAACACTGCTGACCCCTAACATCAATGTTATGGAAAACCAGCATTCAACAGCATATTTTGAACAAACATTCAATCTACATGCAAGAATTAAATGTGCACCACAACTAACAAGTCCATGTTTTTGTTAGCTAATGTGGGAAAAACTATTTCCATTACAATATGAAAGGCCCCAAATGTGATTTATAGACAAATCAGTCTGATAGGAGTGAAGCATTATGTCAGAAGGCGTAAATTAAGCAACTTACAACAGGGTTAATAGGTTTGTTCTCCTGCCTTCTGGCTGTGTCGAAGCGAGACCCCGCAGCCAGCAGGGAAATAAGAGAGGAATACAAGTTGTCATATTTTACAGCTCCATTGAACAGCACTTGGAAGACCTAAAATGAAACAACAGAGTTTTCATTAGAAACACAAACATGAGGTCACACAGACTTACCAAAAAAATATTTTGTGCTGTGAACTGGACTGGGGTTTTGCTTTACCTTGTTGTCAAGTCGACTTCTGTCATCTTCTGAAGCTTCAGGGGAAAGGACACAGTAGAACTTGGGCTGCACTGTAGAATCTAAACAAGGAAAAATAATGGCCATCAACAACAAATACCCTTCTAACAGGTCAGCAAGATTCAAAACATATCTTTGATCACATTACTGGGAGAAACATAAGAGGTTTGACTTACTCCTACCTGCCGAGCAGTGCTTGGTCCAGTTTTCTTCCACTTCCTTAAAGCCATAATAAATTGGTAGAGAGCCTCGTTTTCCTCCTTCCTGTGTAGAGCTGGCCCCAGATGTAGGTGCAGTCAGAAGATTGTACTGTACCTGATCACACAATGTTCTGTTAATGGCACACCTAAAAATGAACAACTCAACAAAAACAGGATATGGCAGTATTAATCTCCTACCTGCTCAAACAGATACATAGGGGCTTTAGAGTATTGGTGTAGCAGGTAATCAAAGACCAGCAGAATGCGGGCCAGGTTGAGCGGCACAGCCTGGAGCTGAGAGTCCACCTGGGCGGCCACCTCAGCGATGGCCTGTGTGCACAAAGTGAGGACGTTGCGGCGGCCCTTCTCTGACAGGTTGTGGAAAATGAGCAGCAATAGTTGAAGGTGCTCCACATTCAGATCCTCCTCGCTGGGCATTGCTCCCTGCAGGGTGTGCTGTTTCAGAGTGCCCACAAACCTGAGCCAAATGGAGAGAGGCATTCTCAGTAACTGCTCAGGCCAAAAACATCTGCCTTACCACTACACCAATAAGAATACAGTGAACTAACTACCTTTCATGCCAGTTAACTCTTAATAACTGATCTTTCATAGAGAAATACACTACATTTTACATTTACATGTTACAGAGTTACTACATTTGTGTAATGTATGCAGCATATGAACTAATAGAGTAGTCAGGAATGCAGTCCATGAGACACAGGCGATTCCTCATTCCTTTCATGCTGATCAGATGAAGTCGGAACACGTGCTTGATTTCCTGGATGACAAGTGATATCACACTCACCTTTCCCAGACCTTCATGCACTCAGGCACATCAGGATCTCCCTGCATGCTTGCTTTGTGCTGCCAGATCAGCAGTAGTCTGGAGAGCACCGAAAGCGATTGGGGGTGGATGTACATGGGCCAGGGGCCTTCAGAGAATGGAGCCACACCCAACTGCTGCAACAATGTGTTCTAAACAAACACAGAGTGTTACTCAATTATCTAGACAAAGAAAATTTCAAACAAAGTCATATAATATTTATAAGATTCTTGACTACCAATGGGTCAATCATCCTGCACACCTGAAGAGCTGGAGAGGGTAGGTCTGATGTTACCAGAGAATGGTTGAAGTGGTATAAGGCTGATGCAAATTCTTCATCAGAGGAACCTAGAGAAAAGCCAAGTGAATTCATCTAACCTGACTCCTTTAAATTAGGATTTCAAAATGATAAACAATGACATTTAAAATACTTAGTAAATAATAGAAATATCTGGTCCTCACCCTTCACATCTTTGTCCACATCCTTGATAATGCTGGCCAGGGTGGCCATGTGCTGCTCGGTGAGGGACACACTCAGGTAGTTGCGGATAAAGTTATTTCTGGACTTCAGCATGGATGTAGTGATGAAGTTCAGAATGCTTGAAGCCAGACTTAAGAACTGGAAAGAAAAATACCCCACTCTCTACTGAGTCAAAGTTGCCAGAGATTACTTGCCTTTTCCTTAATGCAGGTCAAAAGACTAGCTCAGTTCAACAGGTTTATCCAACTGCTGTTTGAGGAGCTTTTTGTACTTAGTATGGAATCTATGACTGAAGTTCATAAAGTGAATACCCATCCCGGTCCTGGGAACACTGCTGTACTGCCCACCAAATACAAACACAAAGCCTGTTTTCAGACTATACAGATCAACCTCAACACAGTGCAATTTGTCCTCACCAACTCTGGGTCCTTGCGGCTGGCTAGGATATTGCCGTTCTCTCCTGCATTCTGCTTGCTGGGGCTCTTGAGTCTTGGAGAGGTTTCCAGAGGAGGGGGTGGAGGGGGAGGTGGAGGAGCCACCTTCTCTTTACTGGGAGAGATGGTCTCCTCAAACCAAAGGCCCAGAATGGGCTCACTGTCATCATCTGTGAACACGCAGAGAGCCAAGTTCATCTCCATACTCCTTGAAATCATTGTATTGCACACAAAACAAAGATGCTGGGTTTTTTTTTTTTACAAGCTGTGGGTAAGGCTATTTGAAGTCTTTACTGTTGAAAGCACAAAGGGAGCATAGTGAGACACTACAAGGCTGACCTAATGCAGAGATCTGCTGACCTGAGACACAAGCTGCTCTTGTCCTCTCCTGTCTTCTCTCTGCTGAAATAACGAACACTGTCACTAGCTGTGCAGGCTGCCAGGGCGGCGCAGTTAAGCAGAGCATGCTTGATGTGCAACAGCACTCTGCAGCAGGAATAAACTGACCTGTCTCTAAGCCCTCGAATGGCCTGACTTTGGTCCGTCTACTACATCGTGCAGTCTTCAGGAACTGCATCAAAATATTCCTCACTCTCTTCAGCCCTGACACTAGCTCAGCCAGTGAAAGACACAGCCCAGCTTTCAAAACTGACAAATATGTCTGGGCTACAGAACTAGGTCATTATTAGATCAATGAAAGTGGTAATTTAATGAAAAAAAAAAATTAACATGGGATTAGTCTATGGAATTATTTTTGCAACCATGTCCCTGCTTTCTGTTCATAATTCAAAGTGAATGACCCAAACTAACTTTGCTAGGCCTCACTTCAAAGTCTGATTTAGAGAGAACTCTGCAGCATTCGTTACCTTGACTACTGTCCTCCTCTGTGCTGCTGAAGTCATCTTCATAGTATGTGTTTGAGTCGGTGGAGGCACTGGCATCACTGCTCACTGAGCCTTTCCTCTGTCTTTGCAGCACGCAAGCCTGAAAGAGGCAGAACCAGAGGAGCCACATTTATACTCTACCATGCCAGGGAGGTTCTTTGTGGTGAGAATCAACCAGTTGCTTAGCTTCATACCTTCTTATAGGAGGTGGAGAGCAGCGTGAAGAGCAGGTTAGTGAGAGGCACAGAGTCGATGAGTCTCTGCACTCTCTGAATTGATGTGCTTTGAGCCATAATGTTCAGCTCTGCTGGGGGCCCATCACTGGCCCAGCCCTAAGGGAGATAAACCTACAATGAGCCACTCTTCCACAAAATGAAATTACAAGTATCATTAAGCAATAAAACAAGTTTATTATTATCATCGTGATAAATTATGACACAGTACGCTTTTCTGAACATTGTCAATATCATTAGTACTTAAAGAACACTAACTACACTTTTTATTACAAAGTGAGCATAACTGGTCCTGTTTAATTGAATTAAGTGCAGTCTGTGAAATACTGAATAGAAATTATTGTAGTTTTAGGTTTATTAATATTGCTATTATAGTACTTTTTACATGTGGCACTACAGGTTCTATTTAAACATATGTCGTGTATAGTGAAAATGTCTTGAACTATCGTGATATGATTTTTGCCATTTCATCCATCCTAATTAAAGGGTAAGAAAGCAGAGGCTAGGATGTTCTAGTGTGGGTTCTTACCCTGTGCAGTGCCTCCACTTGTAGGTCCTGAAACAGTGACGTGAGCAGCTTGATAGAGTGATTTGCCAGAATGACCGACAAAACCCCGAAACCTTGGTGTCTTTAAGGTAAGAGAAAAAGAAAAAAGGGTTGTGCTGTTACAATGACCTAGCAGAACATATAGAAGGCATACCCACCCAATTACTGAACCAAAATGACCTACCCCTTCCCAGGGCCCAGTTTTGGGGATCCTGCCCCATCTTTGGTGCGGGTAGCAATGTCCCTGACTCGCAGTGCTGCTAGAGGATCTTTCTCCTTCCCCTTATCTGCCAGAGCCGTGGGGCTCAGATTCAATATCAAATACAAGCTATTCAGTAAGCACCAGGCACCCAGAAGCTGGAAGTTCTGATAATGCTGTAGAAAGAAGACATGCACAATGACAAAGAAAGATGTAGCACATCCAGTCTGGATTCGGACACGATATCAGTGATGCAGCAACACTAATTTCTTTAATCAAAACATGAATTACCTCCCCTCCAGCACGGCGAGAGTTACTGATAGCCTGTCCAATCATGTCATATATCTCCAGCTGTTTTAACGAGAGCAAAAGAGAGCACTGAATGAGAAAGAACATTATTAAACAACAATGAATAGATTACAATAGTTAAATGCACATACACATTTCTGCACGATAGTAGCAGCATCGTTCTCATAATCTTCCTCTTTGGAGCCAGTGGAGGCAGTGCGAAGCTGCAGGCCCGTACCCACTTGCAGAATAGCCATGCATGTTGCCACACTCACACCTACAAATGAAGAACAAACATTACTCCAAATTCTGAAAATAAATGCAGGACTATTTAAGGCAGAAACCCCAAAACCTTGGTTAATTACCTGCATAGAGGCAGCTCAGAGCTAGCACAGTAACATCGAGGAGTCTCCCAGGGGTTAAAGGCTCCAGCACAGGCAGAGAGAGAGTATCCAAGGCCATGGTCACATCAATTACAAGAGAGTGGAATCTGACATACAAGCAGACACACATAAGATGTCAGCACACTTTACAACTAATACAAACGTTCAAGCAAGTTAAATTAAAGGAACTATGCAACATCCTCACCCATTTCGGACAGCCGTGGCATCTGCCACAGTGGCTGGCATGATGAAGAAAGAGTTTGCTGATACAGCATCCTGGAAGCGGTTGATGTAGCGTAAGAAGTAGGGCAGATTGAGGCACACGCGCAGCAACTTCTCCGAGCCCCCTGTGCCAAGACACGAACAAGAGAATCTGGTCAATAGTGCCAAGTCAAGACTACGAACAAACGTAAATGCAAAAGACATTATTATTCACTAAAGAAAAACACACCCAATTCTTGTAAACTGGACACATTTTGTGAGATGAAGGCATTCTTCATTTTGGCCTGTGTTGCCTGATCTGTTGTTGTTTGGTCATCGCACTCCCCTTCAGCCTACAGTGCAAAGAAAAAAAAAAGACAGCATATATTAGGGTTGAACTTGGATGAAAGGTCAGTCTCTGTGCATATGTAAAAACCTTGTAAATCACAAACCTGCATGTGCACAGAGGGTGAGGCTAAGACTGTAATGTCAGGGTTGAACACTGATGTCAGCTGATTGAAAAAATTCATTTGCACTTCTTTGTGTCGTAGCTCAGGGTTGACTGGGGACGGTAGCTCCTTCTGGTCCTCCACTGGACAATAATGCAAAGGAACAGGAGAACAGAACATGAGTACAATCTCAGAGAGCACAACCCAATGCCCAGAAAACCCCAGCTCTTAGAGCAGCCATCTGGAAATGAGAGAGTGCAAACCCCATCTGACAGAGGCAAGGGAACAAAGCTCTCTTTCTGCCAGCCTGGCACTCAGAAAAGGGGGAAAAAGGTTAATAGAGTGTGATGAGACAAGACATTGTCTAGACATCTGTGCCACTGAGAATGTAACATACGGCTCACGCGAGTCAGAAATATAGGTTATAAATATAACAAGTTATTTACACACCTTTTAAGTTGGCAGAGAAAACCAAAGTATCTTTAGATTGATTTCTATACAGCACATGACACACACAATACTTTAAGTACAGGCAGACTCAACAGCAACAGATTTTGAAGAATTCTTATCTTAAACTCACAAAAATGACCCTGACTTTAACACAGTCCACAAAAAAAAGTCCACTTGATTCTTCAAATCTCAAAACAAGAAATCTGCCTCCTAACTCTGGCCCCAATATTCTTTGACAGGGTCTTTCCAGAGCACTTGAACTCCTGGCAATGCAGCATATTACCTGCTGTTGAAACAGTGCTCCTTTTCAATGGATGTCAGACTTTTTTTCCCTAGCAAATCAGGAACAACAAGGGCGTGATCGCACAAACAGAACGTTTAATTTTTGAATGTCGTCCTAGTGCACAGCTCACTGATTACAACCACAGCAAAAGCCATGCATGATCTTTCAACATAAGCTGTTTGTAAACTTGTACCATATGCCTTGCTTGGAAATCACCAACCTTAATGTTGATTTTCTTTTACTGAGCCAGGCACACAAATCAGACATTCCATGTAACCACATGTGTTAAACTGTCATAATCTTCGTCTCTGCTTCGTGCCTCTATTGCTGAACAGAAAGCAAACCTGCTAACCTACTTATTTGAGTATGGACTGTATGCTTGGTTCAGCACAACTTGCTGAAAGCTAAGCAGCAGGAGCCATCAGAACCAACCAGATACAATTATACACAAATCTAAAGTAAACTTTGCCTGTAAACAGATATCTTTACATGGCTCAAAGAAAACTATAGCACTAAACACTATTTACCAGTCTCGTTAACCAAAAAGGCAAAAAAAGGACTTCACAGAAAATATAAATTCTGCTACTGTGTCTCACTTTATATGACTGGACCACTTTTAAATTCCATGCTTTTCCAGATTTCTTCACACATGGCAATGCTGACTGTATAACCAGGCCAAAAGATAATTCATACAAAAGTGATAAAGCTCAGGGAATCACACAAGCAGATATTCCATCCTTTAAGTCATCAAGCATGACTATCAAGCATGACTATCAACCAGAGCTCTTCACATATAACAGAGTACCAAACTTGGAGAAAAGGCAATAGATGTCTGAAAAGAAAAGAAAAAACCCCTCAGGTCACACCATCAAATGAGCCATCAGGCCTTTCGTCTTAAGTTGATCTGTCTTCCAGTTTCAAGCAATCATCAAAAAAGTGCATACACACACATACACAACCAAAAAGAGGATTTTTTAAAAGAAGCTATTAAGATGCTATGGCCATAATACAAAACACTTAGGTGTAAACAGAGTCCTCACCGTCAGAAAGGGTTTTGACAGTCTGTGGAAGTTTGGCAGACTTCATCATTGCAGTGAACGTAATGATCTCTGTTCGATCTAGTCGACTGCAACCAGTGCAAAGGCCTTTTATTAAGAGAATCAGGTGTTTCTGCAACATGAACAGGGAATAAACTGTAATTAGAGAGGTATGACTCAAATGACAAAGCTAAACCGTTTTACCATCATTCGCACAGCTGACTGATATTAGGAAGAGCACGTCTCACCTGTGAAACTGCACATGCTTCATCTGGATTCTCGAGCCGCAGCAATGAAAACTCAATCAATACTTTACATGCTGCAGCTACCGACAGCAACTGATTTCTAGGGACTGATGGCAAGAAAAAAAAATAGGAGGTTAATGATCACTTGGTATTTACAGCAGCTTTCCAATATCTGAAGCAGAGCATATTTAAACAGCCTACTTTTATCAGGTTAGTCTGCAGCACTACTGAGTTCTAAATAAGGCAATGACTGATAACATGCTCCCCTTCCAAAAAAGCATTAAGTTAATTCACATACTTTGTCCACATACTGTGGTGATGTAATGTGCAGAGAGCGCCACAAACGACGAGTAGAACGGCTCATACTGTTTATCGTGATGAAGTATCTCTGATTCACTGCAAAAGAAATATTAAAACATTAGCATCTTTACAATACATTCGAAAAGGTGTTGGTTAAAAAATAATGTTGGAATTCACTGCATGCGACACTGACATGTATACCAGATGACAGCAGACCTGCTTCAAACCAATTCTATTACACTAGTCTTTATTCAAGGTAGCTTTTGGTGATGTCTTAAAAATCCTTAGCTCATCTCATTAGAGGTAAAACAAAACTTCCCTGACGTCTTTTTAGCAACAAAAGAAAGCACCAGACTTATCGAGGAAATGAAAGTAAAACTGCGAGTCTGATAAAGCCTCAAAAGCTACTGCAATGCAAGTATGGTAAGTGGACTTGGGGCGAGGTGTCCAAGTATACAATACAGGACCCATGTTACACTCCAGAACCTACGCAATCTACTGACAGCCCTTCTGTAAAGAAGAATGAAAGATTAGGAAGCGGTGAAGGCATTTGAAGAAATCATCCACATAAACTGCAATTCAAATTCAGTTTCGGTTTCATACGAGCACCATTTAAGCACAGGTAAAGCTACGAACCAACTCGGAATGCAGCGAAATTCAGTTTTTAATGCTTTTGCGTTTAACAAAGACAGTATCTCACATATAAATCACAACCTATACTCGGATATGTAGAACAAGAGTTTCGCGTTGAGCTGTCATCAGGCAAGAAATGACAAAACTAGCGATGCGTTTCTTTCACTGTTATAAATAACAACAACAATTTAACCATTACTGACTAACGTAGCTCACAGAGCGAGCTAATCTAACCTAGGTAGCTTAAAACAGTGTCAGGTAAGCTCGCCTCCCCTCCGCAGCAGACAACACGCAAGAGGCTAAACTTAAATCGACAGCAGTGCAGATATCTCGATGTCAACACATGACCATACTGACCCACAAAACATGTTATGAGCACCACCTTTCTAGTCACACATATGAGATTTCGTGTTGGTTTAAACATAAATTCAGTTAGGTTCTAGCTGGACACAGCTAACCTAGCTAGCTATTAAGTGGATCGCAGTAGCAGAGCCGAATAGTAGTTAGCTAGCGAAAGCTAGGTTAATGTTCAGCTCATTAAACTCGCTAGCCAGCTGCAAACTTTCTATCGTAGAGTCACCAAGTATAATCTGGTGATCGGGATTAAGAGGGTATCGTTGACATATTTCGCTCAAATAAACTGGGGTGATCTAGAAACCACTTGTCAGTCCGCGCGGTTCTAGGTTTTCGCTTGCTTGTCATATATTCCTGACATTAGCCAGCTATCTTAGCTAGCCGTTAGCACACAGAGGAAGAGCTAACTAGCCGTGTAGCGACTCGGCGGTTGTGTGGATGATATGGGAGGTAACCAGCAAACGGGCAAAACAGATGGATGACTGTGTTATTTTCAAGGACCCAGCAGCGAACTGCAGTTGCTTCCCTGCGCTGAAGCAACAACAGGGTACAAAAAACACCAGAAATGTCTCAAACTGGTTTTAACAAGGTGAACACAGCCACCTGTCTCTCCTGTTCGGCCTGATGATGAAGCAGAATCTCAGACAGCCCGAATGCTAGCGAAGCTAATGTATCTACTGTACAGATACGGGGTAGCGTTTAGCAGCACTGCTAATGCTAATGCTAGCGCAAACTGAACCGGGATTCTCCCGTTCGTTTTAGGGACGGCAAGCATGAAAGAACGAAATAATCCCCAGCCTGACCTGTTTATGATGGAACCTATAAGCTGAGGTAGCTCTTTCGTTTCGAAAGCCGTGTAAGACGCTGATAAAAGCGGCCGCACGGCTGCGGTCCACTCAGGTTCTCCATCTCCTCCACTCGACGCCATCTTGCGATTCTCTATTAGAGTCTAGCGGAGGAAATGAGGTTAATCACCAGGCGCAGAACAACAGGACGTGACGTCGCAGGTAAACATAATAACTTTTTTACTTAATTTTAACAACTGAGAGTAACATTAATGAGAACTACACAACTTCACAGCGAATTCCACTGTCAGAAATTGTCATTTATTTTTTACTTCTTTGTTACAACTCTTTGGATTTTTTACAAAGCTCAGAAGATCAGTGTTAACTTTAGTAGCTATAAATCATGTTTAAAGACAACTGCTCAACATTTATGGCAGACAAGGCCTTCTGATAAACTCTGACCCCCTTTCATTTTTCATCTCCATCCATCCATCCATCATCTAAACCGCTTATCCTTCTGGGTCGCGATTTTTCATCTCGTCTTTGCGAAAAAAGGACCAAACTGCATAAGGCCTTATTGGGCTGTTAGTGCTTGGACCCCAGGATTGCCACTCGCGACTATGCTTTAAAATGCAGCTGCATAGAACATTTTCATGAAGTTGCATTGCACACATTACTCTTTTACCTCAAACCCTTTCAGAATTATTACACAAACACAAATGGTAGTGTTTTAGATTTCATTTTTTATTACCCATCATTATCTTGGGATAAGACCTCAAATTTACTCATCTCGTCCAGAAAGTACATACAGATTAAAACAAAAATTAAATTAAGGGAAAAAAAAAATCTAATGCATATATTTTAACATTTGAGTCAGAAAGGCCCCAAGTAAGTTTGGTACTCCATAGTTGTTGAAGGCTGGTTGCTAAAGAGAGAAACTTGAGTGGGTAAGGGTGATGGTAGATACCTTTAAATTGTCTGGTTAGGTATACTCTTAAAAAAAGAAAGTTCCTCAAGAGTTCTTTAGTAAAGAAAACTGTTCTATATAGAACCATGAATGCTCAAAGAACCATTTGCATGCTTAAAGGTTTCTTTGCATGGTGAAATGATTCTTTACTTTGATGGAGAATGTATTATGTGGTTCCATACAGAACCTTTTTGAAAAATGTTCTATATAGTACCAAAAAGGTTTTTTTATTGGTACAAGCTTGACATCATAATAGCAGAACCCTTTTAGTGCTATACAGAACCCTTTTCAAAAAGTAGAAAAAAAAAACATATACAACACATTTTATATGAACTATTTCAGCATGCAAATGGTTCTTTGAATGTTGGCCCATATTTAAGTTCTTTGAGTATGACTACTGATTCAGGATCAATTTAGGCCTTTTACAATGCACTCTAAAGGACTACACAGACTAATGAGGTCTGACTTCAGATCAGTATTTTTAGGTTAAGATGCTTGATAAATGTGGGCCAATGTCTTAACTGAAGAACCACTGAAGAACCTTCTTTTTTAAGAAAGTAAAATAAATAAGTAAAAAGCAAAGTAAGCTGCAGAACATGCTTGTGAGGAAAACCAGGTCCTTATATAACGTTAACCAATCCAGTGCATCAGACATAAAACAAGTCTAGTGAGTGTTTGCTGTGTCCAGTCTTGAAGGCGGACACCTGAATCTTCTCATGGAGGACTTGATAACTAGCTAAAGATACATCAAGTGTAGGTGGAATACATGACAGGTTTCGGCAAACACTCAGCCAAGTCTGTATTTTCTAACTGTAGTCATGTAGCCTCTATCAGTTTCACAATTTCTGCTGTTCCAATACACCTGAACAAGGAAGGAGAGCTTAAAAATTAGATACTGATAGGACTCAAGTACTAGAACTATGAAGTGGAGTGGGACCTCGACGGCCAGAATTGGGTAGTTAGGCAGCAAGAGTTTTTAACATTAAGTTAAAAGGACAAACTTGACCAAATCCTTTGAAATGCTTTAGAACTTTCTTTAGCACCTAGGAGTCAGTACTGGTTCATTCAAACAAAGTATACATTTTCATACAATTCATCTAAACATTTTGACTTTATTGATTACTAATCCCAAATCAACTAATCTTTTAACCTTTTTGTACAAAAAGTCAGGCAATTTCTCCGTGTTTGTACATCCAAGCTATCACTTTCTATTCTGGGTGTAAAACTGTACAGTACCTGTCCATTAAATTAGTTTAAAGACAGACTCAGTGTCAGCAGGTGAATAGTGCAAAATAAGATTCACGAAGCATCACAAAAATGTGGCTTTTTGATTAAATTACAGAGTTACCAAAAATCTGAGTCTACCTTTAAAGCTGCTTTTAGTATTAACTTAGAGGTATATTTCATGTACATTGACCAGTGTTAGCATCCATACAAACAAAAATTAAAAAACAAATTTAGTAAATGAATGCTTGCATTACTTCATTTTATATTTTCTCGACCTAAAACAATTTCTGTGGCAATCTGAATCTTCTTGAAAAAAATCTTCCTAAAACACAGACAGTGGGCCTAAATTCACAAATTAACTTGCCTCAAAAGCCACAATAAATAAATTTAACAATAAACTGCTTAAATGGTGTGAGAAAACATTAAAGACCATGTCTGTTACATTAGACAGTCCCAAAAAAAAATAAAAAATGCCATCAGGCAACAGTTGGCTGCAAATACGTCCGAAATTCCACAATGCTCATTATATGATCTTGCAGTCTGACATGGGCTGGTCTCCTGCCATGCCATCAACATGGCAATCACATGGCAGAATGGGGCAGAAAGCAGGTTCCAGGCCAGAGAGTTGCCCTTTATCGCCAAGCACGATTAAGTAGTTTGACTTCTGCTAATCGCTTGCTGATCATAGTAGCAAAGAACAGGCCAAGCAGTACACTGCTGATCAGTACATAATCATAATCATCCTTAAGAACATCAAACTGTTTCGAAGGGTACACTCTGGTCTGGTAGATATCAAGACCATACGCAACCACCTAGAGGAGGAAACAGGAACATACATCTTAGCTATGCAACACAAGGGAACACAGAAAGCACTACAAATGAATGAAAAATTATAAGCATGGCAGATATAATGTGCATAAACTTTATGATTATAGATGCACAAATGCCTATTTTTCAAAAACATTAATTATCCAATTTGATAAAGCTGGAAAATCTAAAATTAAAATGTTACCAGTAAGCAGAGACAGCTCTACTGCGATTTCATAAATCAACATTTTAATGCTATTATTCTGTTATGATACTCAAGATACTTGCCAGACATGTGGACTCCAGGCCAGAGGGGGCAGTATAGATACCCCTGACTCTTGACACAGTTTGATTGTAGTTAATAAACCACTCAGTACGAATCATCATTTCAGGAGAGTATGGTATTAGATTTTCTTCCCTGAGACCTCCAGTCAAACTAATGTTAACATTAAATTACTTGTCAGAGATAAAGTCAGGTCAGGTCGATAAATATTTGGACATCAACAAAATTATAATTTTTATCTGTCTACCCTTGCATATTAAAGTTGAAACTAAATTATGAATATGGGCTCAAAGTGCATACTTCCTGCTTTAATTTTAGGATATTTACATTCAAATCAGGTGAACAATGTAGGTCCCTAATTTCTTTGGGCTCAAAAGTAATTGGACAACTGGCTGCTTAGCTTTTCCTTGGCCAGTTGGGTGTTATTTTCTCATTATTGCACTTACAAGTAAGCAGAAAAAAGTCTAGCTTCGATTTGAAATGTGGCATTTGCATATGGAATCTGTTGCTGTTAACTATAAATATATTTTATTTTCAAATATTTTGTGACGTGACCATATATACAGGCCACTATTCACTGGCTCAATGCTCACCGGCTCTGATCCGAACCAACTTCTGGTCTCCTTGGATCCAAAAACATCTTCGGTAAAGACATTATGGCTCCTGATGGGAGTCCCACTGAATAAACAATAGAAAAGTGGTCGCTAACATCAGAAATAGATCTTATAACACCACTTTAGATATTAAAAAGTAGTTTGCCATAGTTTAAAATGAATTGCACAAAACTGACCGAGTAGATGCCGGCTGGTGATGCCCTTCTCAGTGAGTGTGGCCTCCAGGGTGCTTATATGAGAGGGGAATATGTAGGACTGCTGCAGGACCTGAGGTGGGTGAGGTCTATCCAGAGAGCTGAACACTGTGCTGTTATACAGCTCCATTCCCTCAAAAAGCTCAAGCACAGAGAACTCGTTCCTCCTAGACTTCGTGTTCCAGTACACATACTAGAGAGAAAAAAAAGAAAAAGCATTATTTTTCATATTGGTGAACTATACTTTGTGAGTTTTGAGTACTATAATAAACCACTGAACAGAATCAGATGATTAGAACTCTCCATTCTAATGATACTAAGCAATAATACTTGATTAGCAGCCCCAAACCGCAAAGGTTTATGATACAAAATAGGATACATTTTGATGTGCTGAATGCCATTTTCAGAAATACACCAATCAGTAATCAAGTTGCCATATTCAAATAGTACAATCATATGGGACTTGATATGATAGCAGTGGCATTCAAGCAGTGGTGCACTCTGCTACGCAATCGTCTGGAAATTCCTTCCTCGAAATTCTCTAATCCAGTGCTGGAAACAAGCAGTAGTGGATAAATCTGTGTTATCCAGGGATGTGTTTGATAATTCATTTAATAATTCTGATATGCTGGGTCTACTGCTATATCATAAATGGATGAATGAATGAATGAATGAAGTAGTTACCACTCCAGCTATGCATAAATTCTAATAGCAAAGTGTCTTTAGCAGTAACATATCTATTGGATGCTAAGATGACTCGTACTCGTACACACTGACACAATGCCTACAGTTCCTCAGAATCATGTGTAGAGTCAGAAAAATTTAATAATATAAAAATAAGAGCAAAAACAACTCATTCTCTAGCTAATAGTATACATGTTACCAGTGCCAGCATTATAGCTTCAGAACTACCTGACATTAACTTGACAAACTCTTTACAAAATGATAACTTGTGTAAAGTGTAAACAGAGCAAAAACAATTCGATCTCTAGCTGCTAGCACTATTGTTCATGTACTAGTGCTTGGTGTCTGTGTCCTCTCCAGGAACAGTAAACAATAGCTAATTAAGGCTCCATATACAGCAAAATAAAGAGAAAAAAAACAAACTAAAACAACCACAAAAAACACAACTGAAGTCAGACACAGCTCAAGCTCAAATACATGTTCTCAATGCTGTATTTCACCCCTAATTAGGTTATTTTTATCACTGTTAAGATGTGCTTCAATAAATTTGTTTATGATTTCTTCTATTAATTTTTAGCCTTAAATTGGAAGTTATAACCATAACACTTAATGTTGTATAGTGCGACCTGCTGCTTGTCTTCGGCAAAGCCTGTGCATGCGAGTTACCAAGGTCAGTCGGTAAGAGATGCCGAATTACGCAAGCTGGCGGTCCAGCAATAAGATAAAGACAAAGCCCTTCTACTCACCACCACCCAGTTCTCAGAGTGGACAAAGTGAACAGGACCTCTGGCCTTCCTCTGTACTGCCTCATGGACAATACGACCAGTCACACCATCAATGAGGAAAATCCCCACAAAGCTGCGCTCCTGATGGCTGTCTGTGCTTTCAGTCACCACTGCAAGGAGGTTGGGGTTCAAGTACTAAACGTAAAGAGATATTGAAAAATAATCACATGATGAAATCGCCTATTTCCAACAAACAAAATATATACAATTATCTATAGAAAGCTACTGTCAAGAAGTCCTTGAGGTCAGAAATGAGTAAGAGTCTGTCAGAGTGTGTGGGATGTTGCTGAATATTACCTTATAAAGAACACTGCGATCCCCCATGACACGTCCTTGGGAGTGGACATGCTCATTGGCGCGCTTGCCTTTTACCCCCACTATCTTCTGCACCTCAGTGGGGATGACCACCTCCCAGATCAGCTCAGTAGACAGGTCTTTGCGTAGGCGGAAACCAGACAGTCTACCCTGACTGGAGTCTACCAGGTAGAAGAAAATAGAAGATGCCATCTCTTGCAGCTGCTGCAGGACATTCTTAGTGGACGGGAATGCTGTTACCTGAACAGGAGATAGGCAGGTTCACAATTATTAAATTGTTTTTGTTTCATGTTTTATCAGGCCATTCTACCAAACACGCTGAAACTGACCTTGTATTGATCATCTATCAGGAGAAGAACTTTAGCATAGTCCTGATCCATGAGGGGCAGCAACAGGGACTGAAGGACAGGTCGGGGCAAAGCTGGAACACTGATATGGCTCTTCTTGCCAAAAATGGGATTAAAAACGTAGAGGCTTCCCAGGCCTGTGTCCTGCAGAGACAAATACAGTTTAACATTGAATTAAAGAACACTACATTAACAAGCAGGCAACATATTTAATTTAGGACTGATTAAAAAATAATTCTGATCTAATGCCTTCACGTGTCTGAGAACTTTGCTGCATTTAACCCCATGACTTCAACCGTTAGTCTGTTACAATGTAACTCGTGGCCCAAACTGAACTGAACACAAAAGGTTCTGTGACCCACAAGGCTTTACTGAGCAGATCATTTAATGTATTGTAGTATATTTGTTCGACAAATCAATGTAGCTTTTCAGTTTTGCTTGATTTTATAATATAACAACATGAACAGTAATAAATGACCAAATGATTTCTAGATGATGTTGTTTGGCAGCTGCCAAGTGCTGAATGACATGCTGAAGAAATTAAAAAAGCCTCCAAATGATGGCATTTTTTATTTAAAAAAAAAAACAAAAAACAAAAAAACAAAAACAACAAAAAAAAAACAAAAGAAAAACCTTTTAGTATTCAGCACACAGTGGAAGTTACTTGTGTACTGTTTTTGGACATGCGAAGCCTGAATGCCTTTACACACCAAACACATTTTTTTGAATGGTGAAAACATTATTTCATTTACACTCTGTTTGATATTTGTGAATTTTGTGAACTTTTGCCAATAACAAGATTTGTTTGTCCTCTGCTTCATCATGAATGGTGTTAGCATCTCCAAAAGCAGCTCAAACTGAGTTGCAAACATCTGAGCTGTGAATAAAAGCTCTCATGAAGTTCCAGCTCCTGAATGAGGTGGTAACACTCTCCATGCTTCTTCTACTTTTCCAAAATGGAAAGAAGCCTGCTGAGTGTCAGTCTGCCTGTTTTGTGAGGAGCAAAGGAGATCTCTGTCTCCTAAAGGCATTCTGCCTGTTTGTTTATGTCGCAGAGCTATAAGACTCTGTACTAACTGAATGTTCTTAGTTTCAGTTTAGTGTCCTCAGTGTGAAATAGGGTGTCTGTTTCACTTGTAGGTGGCCCATCCTCAGGATCTTTCTTTTTGAAAGGCCCTGTTTGTAACCATTTATCTATGATGGTCGAATTCGACACAAATGAAAAAGGAAACGACTTGCACTGAAAACGTAAACATATAGAGCATTTTGCCAGATAAAATAAACGAGGTTGACCGAAATACAAAAAATACATGGTTTCAGCCCCCAGCAGTATTTCATGGGTTGAAAACCACTGCTTTAATACTTGTACGTTAACGTGTTTAATGCATTTCACTCCATGACTTTACCAGAATCTTTTAAAAATTATGAATATTCACACATTCCTTGCAAATGCTGAACAGGGAGGGAGTGAAAAGCGTAGTGCCTGGACACAAAAACTCCTCACAGAAAATGGTAGCAATACATGGTCTCTCTTTCGAACTGCGAAGAGCTGGCATAAGCAATGTTTTTTGTTTTTTTTTTAACCATAGCATCGCAACTGTCAATCAGCTATTTAAGCTAATATTGTCTTTGTATGTACAGGCAAAAAGCTCTGGCACTTCTTCTTGAAAGTGATCTAAAATTAAGTAGCAAAACGTCATTAAAACAACAGGAGAATAGCGCCTCTGACATCACAAACACACACACACTTTGAATCCCACCTAACTTTTAATAATAAAGTCAAAGCAATATAGCTCATTTTGACAGGAAATTAACTGAAAACACAATCCTACCTTATCCTTAATGAGAAGAGTGCACTGAGGTGGATGAGGGAAATGAGCAGTAGTCCTCTGCACCATCAGTTTAAAGACTGAATTAGGCTGCACATTCTCAAGGTACTGCTTCCACAAGACAGTTCCAGACTTACTGTCAATGCCAAAGAGCTGAGTGAAAATTTTCAGGGGAAAAAAAAACAATATTTTTTTTCAGTTATTTATATTTGAAATCAATACTAGAGGAAAAATAGATCATTTAAATTGATTCAAGAATACTTTGTTAAGAAGGTTAATCATTATGCTAGCTTGTCCCAATTTTGTTTGATGTCACACGAGGTTGCAGGTTATTCTGACAGAACAGAGCTGTTGGTTGGACAGAACATTTAACAAAAACATTGAATGGACATTCACACTAATCATCTTCATACCTTCCCTGAGGCAGTCACCATCACCATCATCTTCTGCAGGTTGAACTCATCCCGAGATAAAGTTTCAATAGTGACCTCATTCTTGACATTGCTGCGGGGCTTCCGAGCATCATAGAAGAGTTTCCACAGATGGCTCAGCCAGGCTTGCAGGAGGATGAGTTGTGATGAGAGCCGCTTCAAAACCATGGGCAACAGTCCATCTGCAAAACATCACAGTAACAGAGTTTAAAAACTGAGACCTACATACTGATTAGTTCAATTCTTTCCATGTGTCCTTGATGTTTTAAATACTGCAAAATTACAGGCTTCTGGAAGACCCATGATGCCACACAAAATACAAAAAAAATTATGACTGGCCTGCATCATACTGCAAAAACGCTTAGCAAACAAAATTATTTGTATTATGACAAGTGAACTGCGCATATTGTTATAAACACACAAAAGCAAATGTTCCAAATTACCTTGAATAGCTGGATCCAAGTGCAGCAAAAAGAAAGAGCAAAAGGCAAGAAAATAAATACAGAGGCAGTACAAGAAAAGACAACAGCTTATTGGACAGATGGAAGAGTAGTGCATTAGGGAGCATAAGCAGCATTAGTAAGCAGCAGCAACATAGATCATAAGCATAGTATGACAAAAAATAATAATAATAATTCAGGACATACATGAAAAGCATACTTATTAAAACCTCACAACATTAGTATTCATTCTAAAACATTAAGTCACACAAAAACAGCACAGTTATATCAGTAAATGTTCACATAAAGAAACACACACACACAAATGCATTGTGTTGCTTGATGCCACCTGCTGAATCAGAATTAATAACACACAGAGAATGGAATGTGCAAAGAGACGATGTGATGCAGATCAATGTACATTACCAGCTTTCTTTCCAAACTCTCCCTCCAGTTCTGCTTGTGTTCCTGTGAGCGGTAAGTCCACCATCTCCATTGTGACTACATCAGCTAGAGCCTCCTCCCTAGTCCACACAACCCTGCCTGTAGAGACGGTTAGGTTAATATTTATTTTACAGAATAAGGGCTGTCAAAGTAAATAATACATTAACGCGATAAATTATTAATGCTGCTCGTTTTTACCAGCCATATTAAAGCAAGCTGAAGCAAAGCTGCTATGATAGAATCTGCTGTAGCCTTCTTGTTCAAATACAGCTGTACCTTCAGCAGACTACACTGAACAGTGCTTGTGGGAGATCTATGGATAAATTAACAAGCTGCAAACCAACAAACACATTAGCAAAGTGGAAATATACAGTTCCCCTTCTGACAAGATGCAACATAACGAAATGAGAGTGAGGGGGCTACACAGAGGAGTTGAACCATTGACTGTATATGCAATGTATATGAAGCATACACTCATCGGCTGGAACATGCAACCACTGTTGTTTTCAAGTGGCTGTTGGTGATAAAACTGGAAACACGAGTTACCACTGGCTTGTGACCAATACAGGCAAACCACCAAGACTGCTGTTTTAGACGGGCACGGCAAATTCAGCGGGTGGGACAAACCTTGAACTTCACTCTCTTGGTTAGTGGCTACAGCAAAGTATTTTTAACCAGAACTATGAGGCATCTGCTGTGCGTTGACTTCAGAAGAAGAAAAACCTGAAGCTGACATGATTTTCACGTTCAGGTTCATGTAAAATAATGCTAATGAATTAGTGAAAGTAATAAATACATCCTGATGAAGCTTTTTTGTCTATTTGTAGCTGTAATAAAATGCAGTGATTTTTTAGATGGATTAAAAAAAAAAATAAATAAATAAAAAATAAAAAATAAAAAAACACACACACACACACACACACACACACACACACACACCTTTCTTTAGGGTCAAATTTAGCCAAATAAAACGAATAATTAAGATTGATGTTTTAATCATCTGACAGCTGTAAACATATTTGTTGTTCCATTTACAGAATACCCTAAAACTGTATTCATAAAACACTTTCATATATTGAAACAAATTTGATTTCACCAACTCACACACACAGCTTCATGTATACATACCAGGCTGCTGTAAGAAGTTGAGGACGAGATCTTCAGTTTGTACCAAGACCCTGTAGCCCACTGAATCATCTTTCTTCAGAAATGCATGGACATACAACTGAGGAAACAAGGCACATTAGCTTAACTCTAAACTCCAGCAACCAGTTCACATCCTAAAATTACACTTGGCAACAATTACCTTAGTTGGCTTTCCTCCATTAGGGTCCATATAATAGATGATGGTGGTATCAAGAAGCCGCCGACCCGTATCAGCACTGAACAGGTTGATACTGCATGCCTTGAAATTGATATACAAAAACTTCACTGTAATGGGGAATTCTGTTAAATGAAAAGTTAAGATCAAAAGGCAACCTTTCTTAGGTCTATACTCACGGTCTCATTTTTTGGTGACATAACAGCAGCTACTGTCTTTTCCCCAGTTGTTGCAAAAGAGACCAGATACGACTGTGAAAAAGAAAATAAAAAGACATCAGCCATTTGAGAACAGAAACACTACTCTCTCATCCTCTAGGCCTATGACTAATATCTGTTCAGCATACTGGGTTAAAGTCTCGAAGAGGAGAAATGAGGCCATCTTTAAGCTGCAATAAGACGTGGTGATCTGGACCAAGCTGCAGGAAGAATTCAGAGAGCGGAGAACGGGCAGGATGGGGCTGAGTCGAGATCAGAACTGGCTGAAACCCTGAGACCACCTCCAGGCTCAAAGTCTGGAAAGAGAAATGTCAGTAATCAATCACGCAAGATCACAAACTAAACATGACATCTATGACAACTGGAGAGCAGTGGTCACCTGGAGTAGGATCGGAGTCATTTTTGTCTGCTCCTCAGACTGCAATGGCAAGGTGTAAATGGACTGTGTGGTCGGGTCAACACATAAAAGGACTCCATTACCCACCACCACACAGCTGGACTTTAAGCTAGACATCCATGGAGCTGCAACTGATTTCTAAGAACAAGATAGATAAAACGATTTTACAACATGTTGATATTTGCATTATGTTACTACTAATATTAATGTGCTGTTGCACAAAATCACTGTGTATTGTTACATAGATAATTATATAGTTAGTTAAAAATGCTGCTATGTTTTTAAACAAACTGCACACAGAGATGAACAACACATTATCATCCTGTACAACAGAATGTAATATTCTGACCCATGAAGCAGTGCTTTACCTCTTTCATGATTTCTCCATCTTCAATGTTGTATTCAACAATAACAATATGGGAATTGGGGACCACACCTAGAACGAAGACCTGTCCATTGCCTCCAGAATAAACGATCTGATATTGAACAGTGTCACTGCAGGAGGCAAAGCAAAAATTGAAAAGAGAATATGTCTTATTGGCAGTGTTGAACCAAGAACATAACAGACTCATGAAATAAGTGAAACACTTCAAAACAATCAACATGGAAATATTTAAGCAGACTCCTACAACAGAGGAGGTGTAATAAGACTTGTTTTTACCTTTCTGGAAGATTTTCCACCCATTTCTGATGGCCGTTGGAAAGATAATGAAGAGAGATGGCAGATTTCTTAAGCACTGCAACATACTTCACAAGGTCTTGCAATCCAATAAATGCAGCTGACTGAAAACTAAGGGGAAAAAAAAGATGTCAGATGTTACTACATGTCTCAAATTGGAACAACACTGTCACATTCTGAAAAGCCACAGACATACAACCTTCCAGTATCGAGCACTGTCTCCCAATTCAAGCCACCAAAAGCGGTTTCCCAGGAACGAAGAAGGCGTCCATTCCCAACAACAACAACAGCGTCTAGAAGACAACGCAGACAATAGTTTCACAGTCCTCTCTCTACATCCCAAATATTACTCAAAGTCATACACTCACCTTGCCCATACATCAGCAGCGTATCAATATGTCCTTCTGGTCCCATCTTATCCACATGTCGCCAGACTACAACAACAAGAAACAAGATCATTCATCATCGTTGCCTCTTTAGACACTGATTTCACTGAAGTACAAAACAACAACTATGTGCACATAAACATACAGTAGTCAAAACCTTAAAAAAGGTACTCAAACGCAAATCTTACATCAATGCATCTTAAATGGTGGATTTCTCAAAAATGTTGTCTGACACACTTTACTGAAAGCACTACTTACATAGCTCTCCAGTTCTGGAGTTGAGGGATGCAAAAACGTTCTTCTCGGTTGCCACCAGGAGCTTTTTGGATGCTTGGGAATGAGTATCAAAGAGTGCAAATCGCACCTCGCCAACAAATTGCTGTCTCCTGAAAAGAGATGGCACATCAGTATTCATCAAATCTGAGCAATAAACCATAATATACATTTTTTCATCAATGCATACATTCTATAAAGTGGACATCATAAATAATATGTACTAACGTCTATGGTTTTATTTATCCTTATGAAGCTATTTCAGGTGTATACCATATATATAAAACAAAATCTGCCTACATGAAGACACAGAATATAACCAACAAAAACAAACAAATAGTGACATTATTCTGTTTATTTGCTTGAAAGGTATGATTGTACACCAATGACTCCCTACTTCCTTCACATCACCACACTAAATACTGAAACTGTTGGTACAGAGACCTATAGGAAAAAAAGTTACTGGATAGTAAATATGGTTATATGTTTCTATGCACTCTAGTGTTATTGAAAAAACGTTTTACTGACAAGCAGCTCCCAAAATACTGGTGTTCATCGCTGTCACAGTAATAATGCAGGGATCAGTCTGTTTAGCAGGTGGCTGCGCTCCAACTCAGATCAGTTCAGTTGTCTTTATAGCACGAACGTTTCAACGTTACACAAAATAATGCCACAGCAATTACAAACTCTCGTGATAATCAAACTGTATAACGACCAGATCTTTATCTACAAACCGATCATCTTGGTGTGGGGGACATGAGCCAGCTAGCTCACTGTTAGCCTTTAGCTTACCCTCACCGCCGGCAGCTTGAATGGCCTCTATCAAAACACTAAGTTAAATGTCAAGAATGACAACAGCATCCATGACCTGTCAGCGTATACGCACCAGTCAAACTTCCCGACTTGGTCTTCGAACACAGCCACAGTAAAACCTAATAAACATAAAGAGACAGTGAACCCAGCTAACAGCCCCGCCATTGCTGCAGATGCTCAGGTCCCACAATCCTCCGCGGTTTAGGACCCAGAACCCCCAGAGTCAAAGGCGACTCGTTTATTACCGAGAAATGGAGACGAAAATAAAAAGCACACTTTGTTCAGCTCGTTTATATTCAAGACAAGCAAATATACAGCGCATACATTCAATTTGACCCTGTATGAAGGCTCCTAGCTTCATTACAGTCAGGCAGTGATGGCGACTGCCTTGTCAACTGGTTTCCATATTAAAGCAGTGATTCCCACCTCTTGACCTGTAGCCCACCTGATGACCACCTGAATAGCATGCTGGTCTACGTATGCACCACCAAAACCAGCATGTCTTGTGTTTTGGTTGCTGGTATGCAGGTCACCCAGCATGGCCATGCTGGACTTTGCTAAACTTGCAAGCCTGTTACTTATTTTTCTAAACTTCTCACTAAAAAATATTGTAAATGAAAATGGTGTGAAGCAAAGCTTTTAAACATTTTGAATAAAATAATTTTTCAGCTTCTCCTTCTTCTGTATGCTGTATACTTTAATTGTACTGCATTAATATCAGCTTTATGGGGAATAGATCTGTTCAACCCTGTTACCCAGATCTCAACCCTATTATTCATACTTTTTAGGTAAATATAGTTCTAAAACGTTGACTTTAGCAGGTAGTGTTACCAAAAGTGTGAATTTGGTAACGTGAGTCATTAGTTAAAGTTAGTTAAACATTTTTTTTAGAAAGAAAAAACATATATATGTATATATATATATATATATATATATATATATATATATCTGTGTGTGTGTGTGTGTGTGTGTGTGTATATATATGTATATATATATATATATATATATATATATACATACATATAAGAAACATAGAAAACACAAAAACGTTTTTCATTATTAATTTAAAAGTACAAAAAAAGCATTTATTGCTAGAACATAAATAATTAAATTACAGTGTTTTACATGCCATTTATACATCTCCCTAAAAACTGGTAACATGGTTGCAAAAAAGATAAAAAAAAAAAATAAAAAAAAAACATCTCATATAGAATCTGATTTCACAGTCTGGGAAAAATGGGAAAATAACATTTTCTGCAGGTTAAGCAAGTAAAGTTTTAAAGTGTATTGTGGCCTTAAACAAACTCTGTTCATGGAAAGTGCCAAATATATTGGTAAAGTAAATGATTCATAGTATTGTTGTCTGTTACAAAACAAAGCATACACCAGTTCTTGATATGGTGCCATGGTGATAGATATTATACAATGCATTCAGTATATATGAAATACTTTTTTAAACACATTGTCTTTCAAGTTTTACACAGTATGTATTGTGTCTTATTCGATTTTGTGAGCCATTCACAGAACTTTCTCAGAGCTGGTTTATGAGGAGTCTGGCCTCTTCCTATTTCCCTGATTGTATCAAAAACATGACTGCAAAACTTGCCCACGAGCAAGTCCTCGATGAACGGGGGAGAATGGAGCTAAAAGGCTAAAAACGAAAAGTTTAAATAGTTTCTAATCACTTGTCCAGAGCTTTCCTTTAATTATACAAAGTAGAAGAATGTATCTCACTAAAAAAGCAAAGAAAACTTAACTGCATATTTCCTTTTTCTACAGCAAACCAGTTTTGGACAGAAGGATGCCAGCATTACTGCTACTGAGTACTGATTGTGCTCACCGAACTTCTATACAGCAGTGTTAAAAGGTTTCATGCTGTTCTGTGTTCAGGAAGTGAATGTATTCTTTTATGTTTAAGCATTTATGAACTATGATTTTGTTTAAATGCTCCATATCAACCTATTCATTTTGGACTCGCTCAGGAGCGCCCTCTAGCGTTTGAGAAGCCCGGAACACATTTCTGAGCCGGTTTCCTGGCTTTTCCTGGCTTTCTCTCCTCCTCGTTTCTCGTGACGTCCGCGGTGACTTTATTAAGGAAGCTAACGGCGCCGCGCTTCTCTCTACTCACACCTACAAACTTCATTCATGAAGACAGCCCGCTTGTGCGAGTGACTGTGGGTGTTACACTGAATGTGTTGTGCTTTTTGCACAATAAGAGCAGAGAAGTGAAGAAGTGGAGCTGTGGAGAGAGGTGGGTAAATCTGTAGGTGGGTAAATCTGCGAGTGCAGAGCCGTTGAGTTTCAGTTAACCGAACATTTGTTCCCTAAAGACTACAAGTTACTCTAACTAGCTTCATAAAAGATGCTTTGATTGGACTAAAGCGCTATTTTCGTCATTATATCTGTCTAATTTTGAGCTGTTCATGTGCTTCGAAACCTCCACACGCTAATAACTACAAATATTAGCATTATTTGTGTATAACTTCTCCAAGAATTGTAGAAATGGATAAAAACATTGTTTTAACTAACTAGTCAAAGGAACTGTCTTGTCCTATAGCAAATTATTTTCTAGAAGTCACAGAACTCAGGTGTAGCATTATGGCAGTAGTCTTCATTCGTTAGGTAGACTGCTAAGCTACAGCTCCCTGAAAGGAGAAGGTAAGTGTTAGCATTATAGATTTTCAGCCTGCCTTTATATGGATTATTAGCTCACAGAAATAGTTCTGTAAAAATAAATAGTTCCAAGTCTTTAAGCTGCTGTTGCAGTGAACTGAGACTACAGATAAAGATTACAAATAAGTTGTAAGGTTCAGACATCAGTGTTCATGGACAGCAGATGGAGGTGAATGTAGCTACAGTGAACATGAGTTTTTACCTCTGGGCAGGTTATGATCTGGATCAGGACACCAAATGACTTCACCTGTTACGAGTCTTGAAAGAGTAGAAAACTAAAACTGAAGAACGTTTTTCAACTTGCTCACTGTTATAAGCTTATCTGGCTTAGAAATCACCTGACATTTCATTATATACACAATACTGGGTTAAACTATTACACAGAAGTACATTTCTGCCCTCTAGTCTGTCAACAGCTGCAGCCATGGAACTGTCTTTACTTGGCAGAAGTAGTCAGATGGGAAAACTGTCAGATGGACACTTTCAAATGACTTTACATTAAATCAATAATCTTAATCAATTAGATTAATGGTAATTACACACAGAAAATCCAGAAAGATGTTGTTATTATGTGTCCTGATGAAATCAGGTCTGGTTTGAAGTTAACTGCAACGTGCACTTTGACCCAATATGTGACCGGTAGGTGGTGAAAATGCTAAGCTTGCTGGAATTGTGAACGAGCAGACAGCATAGTCTGTTTTTAATTAAAAGTGTACCATGTTGTTTTAGGGTGCTGGACGAGGCCTTGTTTAAAGTTGGTTATAAACATAATCATACTTTGTAAATTAGAAAAGGCTCTACCAAAACACCTACCATGATCAGTGGTCTTTGATATCTGGTCTTGTCTCTGTCTTGTGGATTTAAGAATCAGTCCATAAAGGAATAGTCAGGGGAAAAATCAAATTCACATAGTTTTTCTCTTACCACCAAATGTAGTTGTTCAAAGAAGCCATGTTTGGTGTCCTAAGTTTACTTTATTAGTTTTGCACTGGAGCTTTGAGGCTAATGTAGCTAACAAGTAATAGACACCCGTACGCAACGTGTCTGATTGTGCATGCTACATACCTGTTTGAAATTATTACACTAATACTACATTATCAATCTCAAAAAGACTTGCCTGTGTGGTTTCTGACAGTGTCTGACGTAACTATTTATACAAATGGAAAACAAGTAGGAAACATTCAGGCTTCAGGATGTTTGCTCCTCCTGCCGTTTTAGCTATGCAATGTGCTCTTGCCCAATTTTGCTTGCTCAAGGATTTATTTGGGATGAAAAAAAACTGCATGTTCACTTTTTTTTTAGGCTGTTGTAAACATGCCGTCGCCTGTTAAAGTTATCGTGGTTGGGGCTGGGTGCCGGGGAGAAACATACTCTGATTATGCCTCCATCCATCCTGAACGTATGCAGGTATGTTTTTCCTTTGTTTCATTAATTCTGTTTTATATTTCTGTTTATTAGACTGATCAATAAAGATGCCAGTAATGGAGAAGAATAGTACATAATTTACAATCAGACAATGCAGAAGAATTTATTGAGAATTTATATGAGATTGTCGTTACTTTTTTGCGTTAGGTTGTAGGAATTGCTGACCCGAGAAGTTTTGCACGAAACAAGCTCCAGAAACGACATAAAGTTGCTGATGAAAACACGTTTGATGGTGAAAGTGGAGCCTCTTTGTACAGCTCTATGAGTTACATAAACATGCAGCTGTTCTGATTTAAAATGTATGGCTTTCTCTGGTGTTCACAGACTGGAGCTGTGTAGCAGAGCGGGAGAAGTTTGCAGATGCAGTATTTATCTGCACTCCTGATCGCCTTCATAAGGTTTGTGCCGTGAGAACAGTTTGTCTCAGTAACTCTGTTTGTAAGCAGTGTCTGGAATGCCAATTCAGCCCATTGAGTTAGGATGGTATAATTAGCCATCTTAGCCAGTTAGGGTCTCTGAGCCAGCTGAGGATTTTTGCTGGTGGGTGGGGGGTGGAGGGGTGGGAGTGAGAGGTAAAAATGATAGTAATGCTTAATATTATCCCCTAAACCCTGTCCCACCATGGGGCATGGAAACATGGACAAAAATCAGATGATGTTTTAGAATTTTGTTATGTTATGATGATTAATGCCTAATATGAGCAGGGACAGCTAACAAGGAAAATCTTTGATTTGCATTGTACTGTTCCACTATATGGATCTGTTTAAAAGTGATCTTTGTTTTCTAGGATCCTGCAGTGGCTTTGGCAAAAAAGGGATATCATATACTGCTGGAGAAACCGATGGGAGTATGTACACTCACTCTTGCAAACATCAGCATTCTCAGAGTTGAGCTCACTTTTCAGGAGGCCAGATTTCTTCATTTCCAAACACGTTTTAAATGTTTATTATGTGATGACTTTAATGCAGGAAACTCACTGATCGAGGTGGGTACAGTAGTCTAAACCCATACTCAAGTAATTAATGAAACAGTGACTCAGGTAGAAGTAAAAGTACCTTTCCAAAATACAACCCCATTTCCAAAAAAGTTGGGACGCTATGACAAATGTAAATAAAAAGAAAATGCAATGATTTGCAAATCATTTAAAACCTATATTCCACTGAAAATGCTTCAAATACAACTGTTGAAACTTGAAAATTTTATATTTTTTTGAAAAATATATGCCCATTTTGAATTTTATGCTAGTAGCACATACCAAAAACATTGGGAGGGGGCATCAAAAGGCTGGTAAAGTTGTGTAATCCTTAAAAACACCTGGTGGATAGTTGGCAACAGGTCAGTAACGTGATTGAGTCTAAAAAGATCATCCCAGAGAGTCTTTCAGAAGTAAAGATGGGGATGGGTTCACCTCTCTGAAAGACTGCACGATCAAATAGTGCAACAAATCAAGAATAACATTTCTCAACATAAAATAGCGTTTTTGTTTTTCATCATCTACGGTACATAATAACATTAAAAGCTTTAGAGAATCTGGAGAAATCTCTGTATGTAAGGGACAAGGCTGAAAACCAGTATTTGCTGGCTATGATCTTTGGGCCCTCAGGCAGCACTGCATAAGAAACAGACATGATTCTGTAGTGGAAATCACTGCATGGGCTCAGAATCACCTCTGAAAAACATTGTCTGTGAAAACAGTTCAGTGCCGCATCCACAAATGCTAATTAAAACTCTAAAACGCAAAGAAGAAAATGTACATAAATAAACAGGATCCAGAAATGTTGCCACCTTCTTTGGGCCCAAGCTCATTTAAAATGGACTGAGGGCAAGTGGAAAAGTGTTCTGTGGTCTAACAAATAAAAAATCTCAAAAATTCTTTTTAGAAATCATGGACACTGTGTCCTCTGGGCTAAAGACTACTCAGCTTGTTATCAGTGCACAGTTCAAAATCCAGTATTCAAGATGGTATAGGGGAGCATTAGTGCATGGGTGACATGCACATCTGTGAAGGCACCATTAATACTAGATATATACATGTTTTGGCAACATGCTGCCATCCAGATGATGTCTTTTTCAGGGAAGGCCTTAATTATTTCAGCAACACAATGCCAAACCACATTCTGCATGTATTACAACAGCAGTGCTCCATATTAAAAGAGTCCGGGTGCTGCCTGCCTGCAGTCTAGACCTGTCACCGCTGAAAACAACTGGCACATTATAAAATGAATTGTGAGCACATTGTAAAAAAGTGTTCACTCGGTCAAAACTTGCTAATAATTGAGCCTGACCTTTTTTTTGAGCCTGTCCAAAAAACTTTTACAAAAGACTTTTAAAACATTGTTTCAGGCTTCACATGGTAACACACAGCAGTGCACGCACACCATATTTTAATGTGTTTTTCCCTCCTTACTCAGTAATGCTTCTTCTTTCACTTTTGGCAAAACATCTTACTTATCCCAGCTTTAAGTGCTAAGTAACCTAAACTATAAATTATATTATACCTGTAGTACAGTATCTATAGTGTGTCAATATACAACTATAGAACTATAGAACTGCAGAACTTTGTCATAGATCCAGCTATCAGCAACTGAAGTTTGTTCACCTCTATTTTTCTCTTTTGGGATCCTTCAGGTCTAAATTTACTGTGACCAATAATGAAGTAGATGCTTTCAAAAATGTGACCTTATGAAATTAAACTCAAAAAAGCAAACATTATTAGATGCTGGACTAAGGACTAGTAATATGGACTATAAGACTATGAGTATTAACATAGTTTGTTTATATGTCATTTCATTCGGGCTTCATTTGTCTGTATTTAGACCAGGACATTTTTGTGCATATTTATTCATCCACTTTTTTTTTCCTCTGTCTGCAGGTCTCTCTAGAGGACTGCAAAGAGATTGTAGACACTTTCATTCAAAGTGGTGTAATTCTAACAGTGTGTCATGTTCTCCGTTATGACCCTGTCATCAGCAAAATAAAAGTAAGCACATTTCTGTTTCTGCATTGGCTGATATTAAACGAGTGAACTGTCTAATGTGTGTTCCACACTGATGCTCAGTAAAAGGAGAATTTCTGTCATCTTTTAGACGCTCATCGACAGTGGGGTTGTTGGAGATGTGTTCCACATTCAACACTTTGCACCGGTATGATAAAATCCAGTTCATTGGAATAACAAAATCTTATTTCAGCTTCTTCTGTATGTACTAACTGCCTCTCTGACTTCTTGTCAGGTGGGATACTATCACTTTGCTCACTCTTTTGTCAGAGGAAACTGGAGAAATGAGGCTGAAAGCTCGTTTGCTCTTTTAACCAAATCCTGCCATGACCTGGACCTCATTCATCACTGGGCTGGAGGACGCAGGTATGGAACAAATACACAATGGCTTGGTTTCGCAGGCAGAGATTAAGCCTAGTTCTGCATATTCCTTCTAATGAATAATCTCCCTTCAGAATGCTATATAGTTCAGGATTAGGCTTAATCCCTGTTCGGGAAACCAACCCTATATGTCCAAAAAAATTTCACAAAAGGGGAAAAACGTCCTGTTTATAGCCTTGATTTCAGAAGAAACATGAAACATTGCATGAGGAAGTATCTGAAAACCTTTGGACACAAAAACACATGCAAAAGTTTGGACACCCTTAGTCACTTCACATGATGATGCTTTGTTAATGTTTTTTTTGTGGGTTAAAATAAGTACACATTTTCTGCAGAAAACACTTTTCTGCACATTGTAATACACAATTACTGTTGCTGAATTTAACATATTGGACAAAAAATAAAACATAAAATGTGGCCTGTGCAAAGGTTATGGCACATTTTATACTGTTTTATTTTTTTTCCATTATGTTAAACTCAGCTCAAAATAGAGATTGTGCAATAAAATTTACAGTGTGCAGAAAATATTTCAACCCTTGTGTGTCAAGTGTCCAGCTTAGGGTTCTCCTTTAGCAGCTGTAGCCAGTCAGCAGCCTGACCATGTTGTCCACCCTCACACACATGCACACAGAGACACACACACTAACAGCAGGCCATGTAGGAGGTGAACAGAGTGAAGGGACACAGCACCTCCACACTTTCATTCCCCATGGGTTCACCCCAACACCACATGAGTAATATAAATGTGTAGGGGTGAACAGTGTGAAGACACTTAATATGTGTTTTTTTATGTTCTACACAGAAAATAGGCAAAGGCGAAGGAATGTGAGGTTGAAAAAATAATAAATCACATCATTTTTTCTTTTGATAAACATTAAAAATGGATCCCACTTAAGTTAACTTAGGTTAAGTTACCCTTTATTAATCCCACAACAGGGAAATTCACCTCTGCATTTAACCCATTTGTGCAGTGAAACACCCACATGCACACTAGTGAATGCACACACACTAGAAGGGCAGTGAGCACACTTGCCCAGAGTGGTGGGCAGCCCATTTCACAGCGCCCAGGGAGCAGATGGGGGTTAGGTGCCTTGCTCAAGGGCATGGCTTATTTTCATAACTTATATTCACAATCAACAATTGACCATTGGTATTCAAGCTTTTACATACGACTGTATAGTGTACATTCATTGGTTTGGTAACTGTGAACCTTTTTACAAACCAAAAAAGGAAGAGTTTATTTAATTGAATGGATTTTATACATTAATTTCCAATAAATAAATGTTTTGTGGTTTACAGGTGTATAAAAGTTTCGTCTTTTGGATCCCTCAGCCATTTCAGGAAAGAAAACAAGGTTTGTTTTTAGCTGAAAGATATAAATTTGTGCACTGCAATTAAATACAGGTGTTTTGAACAGTGTTTGTATTTAGCCTCCAGGGGCAGCAAGTCGGTGCTTAGACTGTTCTGTAGAGAGTAACTGCCCATATTCTGCAAAGAAAATCTACCTGGACAGAGTTAAAGAGGTAATAATCCTGACGCCCATTTATTATAACAGTTTCTACAGCATCTAACATGGATTTACTTACATGCAGTGTCTAAACATTTGTGGATAATGTGCAGAACTTGACAATTCAGAAAAACAGAAAGCAAACATAAAGATACGTCTTTAACAAATGCTTTGGTAATTAATGTGTTTTAGGGCTGGGTGAGATGGCCAGTGTCAGTGATCTGCTCCAATTCGGTTCCTGATATTGAGTCAGTAACCGAGGCCTTAAAAACAGGGCCCTACAGTCGCTGTGTCTACGAATGTGACAACGATGTGTGCTCAAATCAGGTTGGACATTCTTACATGACAATGTTTCACCTGTGCTAGATCTGTGATGTCACATCTCTGAAAATATATACCCTGCTATAGAACTGAGGCAAAGTATGCATTTCCTTCATAAGATGGGCTTAGTTTATGTTATCAGAGTGAAATATGCTGACATACGATGGATTAACATGTATTTATTTATTAACAACTATAAGTTAAAGGCCACTGGTCAAATCCTCCTGTCTTTTCCTTTCATTATAGGTTGTAAACATGGAGTTTGAGGGAGGTCTCACTGCTTCTTTTACCATGGTGGCATTTACAGAAGAGATATGTGAACGTAAAACAAGCATCTGTGGCAGCAGAGTAGGACATACTGATCATATCTAAACATTTCAAGGCACAACTTGATTGTGGTGTTTAGACCTGTATTTGATCCACAGGGGGAGCTGTCCTACAATGGAAAAGAAATCAGTGTATTCGACTTCCTCACTCAGACGTCCACAAAGCATACAGTGCATAAGAATGTACCTGGGGCCTTTAAATTGGGCACTCATGGGGTTGCGGATTATCACCTTGTTGACGCCTTCATTTCAGCTGTTGCGGTTAGTTGCATACATTTAAATCTAACACTTACTGTCACAAATATAGTGCAGTATTTCATGTAAATACCTCTAAGTCCTGTGTGTTGTTGTCTTTGTTTTATCTTTATTATAGAGTGAAGATCCACTGCTGATCCAGTCGGGTCCAAAGGAGACATTTGCGAGTCACAGACTGGTGTTTGAGGCTGAACGTGCCCGTCTAGAGAACAGGGTTGTGTTCTGTGAAACCGACCATGACTAGGAGACCAAAATTAAAGGCAAAAAACTGTTTTTCCTTTATAAACGCATAATTACAATAGGACTGGGCGATATGGCAAAAATTGTAATATCACAATACTTTAAACATTTCCATGATGCACAATATGCATCATGATTTTTAATTTTTCTGTGGTTTGATAAGCTGTACTGGACACAGTACTGGACACAGTATGTTTTACCTACTGTACTGCACTAAATCTAATTAAACAGGCCTAATTATGCTCTGTTTGTAATGAAGCACAGAGTTGGCCAGTATTCCTTAACTACTGATGATACCAACAATATTCTCAGAAAAGCATATAGTGACATAACGTGATGTAATTTATAACACTAAACAATTAATATTGCGCACCCCTAAAATAGAGGACATATTCCTCTAGGACAACGGTTGGGTGGGCTTTTATGAAGAATTAATAATAATTAATAAAGGAGGGAGGGCTAAAACAGTCACTGGTGAAACTGATTTTCTGCAGTGTGACGTTACTGTGATTTCCATATATGTATGTATATACACTATATTGCCAAAAGTATTTAGTCGTCTTCCTTCACACGCATATGAACTTGAGTGACATCCTATTCTTAATCCATAAGGTTTAATATGATGTCGGCTCACCCTTTGCAGCTATATCAGCTTCAACTCTTCTGGGAAGGCTTTCCACAAGGTTTAGGAGTGTGTTTATGGGAATTTTTGACCATTTTTCCAGAAGCGCATTTGTGAGGTCAGACACTGATGTTGGACGAGAAGGCCTGGCTCGCAGCCTCCGCTCTAATTCATCCCATAGGTGTTTTATCAGGTTGAGTTCAGGACTCTGTGCAGGCCAGTCAAGTTTTTCCACACCAAACTCGCTCATCCATGTCTTTATGGACCTTGCTTTGTGCACTGGTGCGCAGTCATGTTGGAACAGGAAAGGGCCATCCCCAAACTGTTCCCACAAAGTTGGGAGCGTGAAATTGTCCAAAATCTCTTGGTCTGCTGAAGCATTAAGAGTTCCTTTCACTGGAACTAAGGGGCCGAACCCAACTCCTGAAAAACAACCCCACACCATAATCCCCCCTCCACCACACTTTACACTTGCCACAGTGCAGTCAGACAAGTACCGTTCTCCTGGCAACCGACAAACCCAGACTTGTCCATCGGATTGCCAGACGGAGAAGCGTGATTCATCACTCCAGAGAGCACGTCTTCACTGCTCTAGAGTCCAGTGGCGGCGCTTTACACCACTGCATTTGACGCTTTGCATTGCGCTTGGTGATGTAAGGCTTGGATGCAGCTGCTCGGCCATGGAAACCCATTCTATGAAGCTCTCTACGCTGTTCTTGAGCTAATCTGAAGGCCACATGAAGTTTGGAGGTCTGTAGCGATTGACTCTGCAGAAAGTTGGTGACCTCTGCGCACTATACGCCTCAGCATCCTCTGACCCTGCTCTGTCATTTTACGTGGCCGACCACTTCGTGGCTGAGTTGCTGTTGTTCCCAATCACTTCCACTTTGTTATAATACCACTGACAGTTGACTGTGGAATATTTAGTAGCGAGGAAATTTCACGACTGGACTTGTTGCACAGGTGGCATCCTATCACGGTCCCACGCTGGAATTCACTGAGCTCCTGAGAGCGACACATTCCTTCACAAATGTTTGTAGAAGCAGTCTGCATGCCTAGGTGCTTGGTTTTATACACCTGTGGCCATGGAAGTGATTGGAACACCTGAATTCAGTGATTTGGATGGGTGAATACTTTTTGCAATATAGTGTATCTGTATATCACTGTTATTGGAACAAAACCTGGTGCCTCCACAATGATAACTTTACAGGAAAGTTACTTTTAATGTAAGTCAATGGAACCGGACTTTTTTTCCAAGTCATTTTAGGTCATTTCTTTTGATATGTATATATATTTTTTAAATCTACAAATAATTGTTTGTAATCTGTAGTTTGTAATAGATCGTTAATCTTTCAAGGGAATAAACAATGAGCTTTGTAATAGTTTTTAGATTTTGTAATACAATAAAATTCCATGTTAAATCAAATATTTATCATCTGAAAATTAAACATTTTTAACCATTATATAACAGTTACATAACATATCTTTTGTCTGATTACATTTCATATTTGCCCTTAGAAGGTCCTATTTATATATCAAGCAAGTCATGGTGCTTTGCCTCTAATATCTGAGCTTGAGTTTGGACAAAATTGGGCTTCATTTAGATACTAAGCTCTTGAGTTACAGAACCATTTGTTGGTTGAAGAATGTTTTAAGCTTCTTTATGAAGACCATATACAGTGACCCCAAGATTAGTGCCATACTTGATACATTTTTAAGTTTATTGTGTAAGGATGCAAAGTGTCAAACCAAATGGCATTTATTTAAAGCAGATGATTTTAAGACCTTTCAAAAGGCTATCCTGCTGTTCCATTTCCATGTTGGTCATTTGAGCAGTTTCTTTGCAGTCTTCTGCAGGTTTGCATCCAAAAGTCCATGATCCGCTCAGTGAACACAAGCTCACCAACACCATTGTAAGAAAAACAGCCCCAGGCTTTGACGTTTCCACCTCTGTGTTTTAAAGTACCCATAGTGCAGTCTGGTTGGAACTCTTCTCCAGTCTCCACACAGAGTCTACCATCAGTTTAATGTTGTGCTAAAAGTGTTATTGTGTAAAACAACTATTACATTTTATTACATAACCTGAATACCTTTTTTTAAGTTTACCAGTGGTTAAAGTGTCTATAGAGTATCTGTAACTTTCATAAAAGGGATCTTAAACATAAAAATATAGAGGACATTTGAAAAAAACTATCATTGAACAGAGCTTGGTTTCCAAAAAGCATTGTACAATAGTACTTTTGGGAAACTGGGCCAGGACAGTTTCAGGTCAGAGCAGTTTACACATTAGACTTGAGCAGGACAGTGTGTGTGTGTGTGTGTGTGTGTGTGTGTGTGTGTGTGTGTGTGTGTGTGTGTGTGTGTGTGTGTGTGTGTGTGTGCTACGAGTTGTGGAGACTTTGACCTCTGGATGAGCAGCCTTCCTCTGCCGTAACTGTTTTGAAAGTAAGCTGTTGTGGTAAACCGAACTGAGCAATGCTTGTTTAGATCTTTAGAGTCAGTAACACTGAGTAAACCCCTTCCCACACACATACTGTAGTCTGTGGATGGCAGCTGAAATGTTACTTTCTTTCATTACACTGTGAATGATTTGCTGGTGAAGCTCTTTATTGCAGAGAAGTTTCACCTTTTCAGTGGTTGGAAATTACGATATACGCCTTTGCATGCTGTGGGGGCAGTGGTGGACTCTGACCCAACAAGTGGTGAGCAGTTTCTCTGGGAATGGGATGGGAATGTAGTTATAGTCAAAACTCTGCAGGGGGCAGAATTTACAAAAACACTGAACAGGCTATTTATGGCTTTGGGCAAATTAAATATAAGAGTTTTAAGACACTTTTATTACCAGTTGTAACAGAACTAGTGCAACAGAATTAACAAAGTTGGAATCTTTGAAAGCATTTGCCATGCATAGTGACCACTTGGTAACACTTTAACTTGACACTCCATTGTAGATGCATTGTAGATAAATCTATGAAATGCAGTTAAATTACATTTTGTTGTGAGAATAAGTTTTTTTTGCATATTGAATTTGATATATTATTTTAATATGTTAAATTCCGAGCAAATAAATAGAATGCAAATAGAGTGCATTAAGTTTTGCAGAAAAATGACACTGAAGTTTAAAGTCATTTAGTTAAATTAAAGACACTTTAAGGCCTACAGATGTCCTGCTTCACTGAAGAATGTCTTGTAGTCTAGTACCATGCAAAAAACAGTACCTTTCGGGGTATAAACGCTACCACTGTGGTGGTCCCTCAAGGGAATGTTTTCAGTACCTTTAGTTAGGGAACGTGATAGTACCATGTTCTTTTGCTGTTATATTTTTAAACTGCATTGCCACTATACACCAGGGGTCTTAATCTTATCTAAAATGAGCCTGTTTGGCTTTAGGTTTTCATTCCAGTCAAGCAAAGGCACACCTGATTTTTGTTGGTGGTCTTCTGAAAGTAAAAGTCCCATTAATAATCACCAAAAGGAATGAGATTTTTATTCATAAAACTGTAACCGCCCAACGTAGACTTACCACAGTCTGCGAAGCTGTGAGATGTTGGTATCCAATCTTATTGAAGCCATAATCTGGTTTCAACTTTGCTTTTTAAAAAACGTTTTATTCCCCCTATTCTTCATAAAGAATACTGCTTAAAGTGAGTTCCACCAATCAGAGATGTCACTGTTTTCATAGAAATTTCACCTACACGGTTTGGCACCAGAAAAACATGAATGTGTTTCTGTTGGATATGATGTGTTTATTAAGTTTATACACTACCTTTTCAGGAATTATAACTATTTGTCCGGTGAGATCACTTTAATGAGTAAAATAATCCATATGAAGATTCTTAAATTCTTAAATTAGTCTTTGACAGTAATGTCTTACTGCACTATGACTGCTAAGCAGTTTTCTAGCAGCAGATGTGCAAAAAACTAAATCACAAACCCCGAAAGACAAAAGTTAAATGCCATATGTACATAAAACTATAATATAAACAACAATACACAATACATAACACAAATATATATATACAGAAAAGTAGTAGAGTAGAGAAAATGCTCAATTGTAAAAGTTGGCTGAAAACTGTTTGGAGTGGAGGGAAAGTGATCGGTTGACATCATTCGCAGTTCTTTGTGGAATAAGTAGTTAATTCTGACACTTAAAGACATTTTGTGTCTTTTTGTCCATTTTTCAAAACCTTTTTTGCTCTGAATAAATGTTTAGAACATGATTGACCTCATAGCTGGTTGGTTTGGTTGGGTGCTTAAAACTCTTTCTATAAGGATTTTTTCTAAATATCTAAGGGAAAATGAATGGGATTTTCCGGAACTAGAGCCGCTGAAGTGGGTGGTCACTGTTCAGCTATATAGATTAAGTGTGCTTCTGCTTTGTTGAAATGAAAACCTGCAAGCACACCGGCCCTTTGTGGATAAGATTGGACACCCTAAAGACATTTATGTTGTTTGTATTTTGGGGGACTAAAATTGACCCAGATAGTATCCTTTTTTTCTGACAGTTTAAGTAACTCTAGAACGGACTATTTGCCCAATTAACATAAGTAATGCCAAGCACAGTTAACCCTAGAGTTGAGATAGAAAGTGTGCACTGAGTAGCTTGATGTTTTCTCTGTTCTACCAGCTCCAGAAAGATCATTACTGCATCATAATGGATCCCTGCTGAGGACCTTAGTTTATCCCGTCTGATCTGCAGAATACACTGTCTATCCCTGTAAAATAGTTGGGATACACTGTTGGTGCTTATCATTGCACAGTGTGCTTTCTTTAGAATAAAGGCTGGTCTATTTTTAAATGAAAATTAAATGCAAATGGCTTGAAGCAAAGATTTTAAACATTTGGGATAAAATTATTTTTTATTCTTCTCTATGTTGTATACATTCATTGTTTTTTTTACTGCATTAATATCAGCTTAATGGGGAAAGCGATCTTTGTGTTCAACCCTGTTACTTGCTTCAACCTTGTTACCCAGATCTCAACCCTATTATTCAGCTATTTTGGGTAAAAATAGTTCCAAAATCTTTAATTTAGCAGGTTATGTTACCAAAAGTGTGAACTTGGTAATGTGAGTCATTAGGTAAAATTACTAATCCAAGAAAAATTGCACTTAGAAAGAAAAACTCTAAAGGCTTTGAAGTAGTGTATATATATGTGTATATATATGTGTATATATATATATATATATATATATATATATATATATATATATATATATATATATATATATATATATATATATAAGAAACATAGAAAACCCAAAAAACTTTTTTTATTATTAATTTAGAAGTTCAAAAAAAGCATTTTTTGCTAGAATGCTGTACATTTCAGAAAAACATCTAATACAGAATCTGATTTGACAGCCTGAGGTGAGAAAACAACAAAGTTTTAAAGTGTTTCGATGCCTAAAATGAACTCTATAGTGCCAAATATATTGGTTTCTCAGAGGTGATTTAGGAACCTGGCCTCTTCCTTTTCCCGTCATATCAAAAACATGACTGCGAAACACCAGAGGGTGCCCATGAGCGAGTCCTCATTGAATGGGGTGAATGAAGCTAAAAGGCTAAAAAAGAAAAGTTAAAATAGATTGTAATCACTTGCCCAGAGCTTTCCTTTAATTTTAGGGAAAAAAGGATGTTTTTTACTAAAAATTCAAAGAAGACTTGTCTGCATGTTTCCCTTTTTTCTACAGCAAACAGGTTTTTAGCAGCAGGATGCTAGCACTACTGCTACTGAGTGCTGATCAAAAACGTGATTGCGAACACCAGAACGCTAGCATTACTGCTACTAACCCTGATAGCGAGCATATATTGGTCCACTGGCTTGATAAGGTTGGCACCCGCTGACTGCTTGCTACTCTTGGTCCACCCTCGGACCACCCAGATTACTGTCCTGCATACAAGCTTTAACTAGTTTTTAATCTCCTTAAACAGATTTTAAAAGCACAGGGACTTTTATTTTAGAAAACAAACAACTGAGAGAAAAGAAATAATGACTAGGCCTGTAATAAAATTATTTTGTAGAAAGTGTTGTTGCTGGCACTGAGCTAGATTAAAATTAATTTACAAAGAATAACTAAAGAAAGGAAGGAAGGAAGAATCAGTTAATTCGACTGTGAGGGAAAAATGAGCAATGAAAAGTGGAATTTTGTCTATTATTCTGCTGGGTGGGCCGCCCAGAAAACGCTGAGCAAAACGCCAGTGGACCACCAGCTTTGCCATCAGCGGTCTGACGGTAGTCCACTATCCTCTTCATAGATATACATATCTAGATGCCGCGTTGCCTGTTGTTCTCTATCTGAGGCGATACGGCTGCGCGTCCGCCATGTTGGAGCGGTCAAGATCCGCTTGTGAACAAATTCACTCGTATTGAGAGATGATGAGTCTCAGGGTTAAATCAGCCGCAACTCCCTTATTACTCAACCGATTTTCACCACATTTGTTTTGTTATAATCCTCAGACACAGATTAATCTAGGCTGCACGGGCTGCTCTCAGTAGCTTTTATTTCTTTAGTAACTGATCGGGCTAATTAGCTGTCCGGACCAGCAGAAAAGTATTCAGTCTGCCGAGTTTAGCGCGAGTTCAGGTAGAATCTCATACACATCAGCAAATGCATCAATGTGCGAATCACTTCTAATATTAATACACTTAAAAATAAAGTAAACACCCCTAAACGCAGTGAGAAGGACGAAGCTGAAGTTTCTATTCGCCAGCTTCTTCTTGGAGTGTTCCCGTTCCACCTTAAATGGTGCAGCAGTCACTTTCTGGTGCCTGATGCTGCATTATTTAAGGTGGAACGGGAAAATTCTAACAAGAAGCTGGCTGATGCACCATTTAAGGTCCGAATTCAAACAAGAAGCTGGCAAATAAGAAGCCAACTTCAGATTCGTGTAAGGTGCTAACGTAATCTATTAAAAATATCTACACGGATTAAAGAATGCTATAATTTTCCTAGCTACAAAGCATTAACCACCATTGCAAATAAGTAACTACTACATAAAGTTGAAGTCCCCTGAATAGACTATTAAATGAAATCAGCTTGATATGAAACCAGAGGAAAAACAATTGCATGCTTTTCTGTGCATCACCAACCACACGGCCATATCTACACATACACACACAGACAATACACATCACACAAACATGAGCGTGGATCACTGTGTTCTCTTCGTTATATAATCCTATCCAACTTTCTGAGTGCAATATTCTTGAAACAGTATAATTTCGGACAGTATTTTTCTTAAACTGCCGCTTTGTAATGGTACTGAATGCCGTCCAGCAGCGATGTTGACCGCCCTAAAATGGCGGCGCCGTAGACGTGCCTGACGGGACCCAACGCGGAATACAGGTATGTATATCTATGATCCTCTTGCTATCTGGGGAGAGCTGATTGGTTGGACATACTTGACATGAGGCGCCGTTTTAAACTTCGAGCTCGAGCTCAAAACCTCTTAAAAAATATCAGTGGTGTTATGTGCTGCTCTGTGTTCAGGAAATGAATGTTTTCTTTTACATTAAAATATTTAAGCATTATAACTAAGAAACCCGGAAGACATTCCAGTGCCGGTTTCTCTCCTCCTCGTTTCTCGTGACGTCCGCGGTGACGTTTTCAAGGAAGGCAGCGGCGCCGCGCTTCTCTCTACTCACACCTACAAACTTCATTCATGAAAACAGCCCGCTTGTGCGAGTGACTGTGGGTGTTACACTGAATGTGTTGTGCTTTTTGCACAATAAGAGCAGAGAAGTGAAGAAGTGGAGCTGTGGAGAGAGGTGGGTAAATCTGTAGGTGGGTAAATCTACGAGTGCAGAGCCGTTGGATTTCAGTTAACCGAACATTTGTTCCCTAAAGACTACAAGTTACTCTAACTAGCTTCATAAAAGATGCTTTGATTGGACTAAAGCGCTACTTTCGTCATTATATCTGTCTAATTTTGAGGTGTTCATGTGCTTCGAAACCTCCACACGCTAATAACTACAAATATTAGCTTTATTTGTGTGTAACTGCTCAACGAATTGTAGAAATGAAGAATAAAAACATTGTTTTAACTAACTAGTCAAAGGAACTGTCTTGTCCTATAGCAAATTATTTTCTAGAAGTCACAGAACTCAGGTGTAGCATTATGGCAGTAGTCTTTATTCGTTAGGTAGACTGCTAAGCTACAGCTCCCTGAAAGGAGAAGGTAAGTGTTAGCATTATAGATGTTCAGCCTGCCTTTATATGGATTATTAGCTCACAGAAATAGTTCTGTAAAAATAAATAGTTCCAAGTCTTTAGGCTGCTGTTGCAGTGAACTGAGACTACAGATAAAGATTACAAATAAGTTGTAAGGTTCAGACATCAGTGTTCATGGACAGCAGATGGTGGTGAATGTACAGTTTAAACTGCAAGTTGAACATGAGTTTTTTCTTCTGGGCAGGTTATGATCTGGATCAGGACATTTCCAAATGATTTTACCTGTTACGAGTCTTGAAAGAGTAGAAAACTAAAACTCAAGAACATTTTCAACTTGCTCACTGTTATAAGCTTATCTGGTGTTGAAAGTTAGTTATAAGCATAATCGTACTGAGGGGATCGAACCGGTGACAAGGTCACAAGGCTGGTTCCCTAACCTCCAGCCCACGACTGCCCCCACATTGGTTTTATTGGTTTTGCACTGGAACTGTGAGGCTAATGTAGCTAACAAGTAATAGATGCTTATACCCAACCTGTCTGTGTTGTGCATGCTACTTACCTATTGGAAATTATTACACTAAAACTACATTGAGTTATCAAATAATCTCAAAATTCAGGCTTCAGGATGGTTGCTTCTGCAGTTTTAGCTATGCAATGTGCTCTTGCCCATTTTGTATAGATAACAGTATCAGTGTCAGAAACATCCTTTAGTAATTGTCAGCAGCTTTCTGTCGGATTGTTTGGGATGAAAAAACCTGCATGTTCACTTTTTAGGCTGTTGTAAACATGCCGTCGCCTGTTAAAGTCATCGTGGTTGGGGCTGGGAGCCGGGGAGAGTCATACTCCGATTATGCCTCCATCCATCCTGAACGTATGCAGGTATGTTTTTTCCTTTGTTTCATTAATTCTGTTTTATATTTCTGTTTATTAGACTGATCAATAAAGATGCCAGTAATGGAGAAGAATAGTACATAATTTACAATCAGACAATGCAGAAGAATTTACCAAGCAGTCATTATGTCACTATGAGATTGTCGTTACTTTTTTGCATTAGGTTGTAGGAATTGCTGACCCGAGAAGTTTTGCACGAAACAAGCTCCAGAAACGTCATAAAGTTGCTGATGAAAACACGTTTGATGGTGAAAGTGGAGCCTCTTTGTACAGCTCTATGAGTTACATTATAAACATGCAGCTGTTCTGATTTAAAATGTTTGGCTTTCTCTGGTGTTCACAGACTGGAGCTGTGTAGCAGAGCGGGAGAAGTTTGCAGATGCAGTATTTATCTGCACTCCTGATCGCCTTCATAAGGTTTGTGCCGTGAGAACAGTTCGTCTCAGTAACTCTGTTTGTAAGCAGTGTCTGAAATGCCAATTCAGCCCGTTGAGTTAGGATGGTATAATTAGCCATCTTAGCCAGTTAGGGTCTCTGAGCCAGCTGAGGATTTTTGCTGGTGGGTGGGGGGTGGAGGGGTGAGAGTGGGAGGTGAAAGTGATAGTATTGGTTAGTGTTACCCCCTAAATCCCGTTCCACCTCAGGAAAATAAGAATTTTGTTATGTTATGATGATTGATGCCCAATATGACCCAGGACAGCTAACAAGATTTGCATTGTACTGTTGCACTATATGGATCTGTTTAAAGGTGATCTTTGTTTTCTAGGATCCTGCAGTGGCTTTGGCAAAAAAGGGATATCATATACTGCTGGAGAAACCAATGGCAGTATGTACACTCACTCTTGCAAACATCAGCATTCTCAGAATTGAGCTCACTTTTCAGGAGGCCAGATTTCTTTGTCAATCAAACATGTTTATACAGTGTTCTTCATATCAAAACGAGTTTGGATAAAAATTATGTGATGACTGCAGGAAACTGCAGGAATGCAGGAAACTCACTGATCGAGGTGGGTACGGTAGTCTAAAACCTTACTCAAGTTAAGGTATTGTTGCTCAAGTAGAAGTAAAAGTTCCTTTTCAAATTTAGAACTTGAATAGAATCAAATCTAAAAGTACGTAAAGCTACACTTTGTAAGATTTTGGGGGTTTGGAGACCTCTCTGGTGGAAAAGTGTGAATACTTTTTGTAACGTTGGTTGTGTTTCGGATCCTCCCAAGTGGATGAACCTTATAATTGTGAGCACATTGTAAAAAAGTATTCACTCAGTCAAAACTTGGTGAACATTCAGCTGAACCTTCTTTTTGAGCTTTTTTGAACACTATTTCAGGCTTTACAGGGTGACTCGCCAGTGCACACACACCATATTAAAGTAGATGCCTTTAAAAATGTGACATTATGAATTTAAACCCAAAAAAACTAATAGTAACTAAATGTTTATGACTGAGTGAAAAGTTTAAAGTATATCATTTAATTTTTCAGGAAAGTTCAAATCCACCAAAATTTTAATTGAGGTGATGTATCTGTGTCAATGTAACTAGTTATGGTCCACCTCTGCACCACAAAGCACTACCTCAAGGAGCAGTAGTAGCCTTTGTATAGCACGCACAACAGAACATGACAAGGCTGAATGACTAGATGCTGGACTAAGGCCTTTAGTCATATGGACTATAAGACTATAAGTATTAGCACAGTTTGCAATGTTGTGTATGTTTGTTCATCCACTTTTTTTCCTTCTGTCTACAGGTGACTCTAGAGGACTGCAGAGAGATTGCAGAAGCTTGCATTCAAAGTGGTATAATTCTAACTGTGTGCCATGTTCTCCGTTATGACCCTGTCATCAGCAAAATAAAAGTAAGCACATTTCTGTTTCTGCATTGGCTGATATTAAACGAGTGAACTGTCTAATGTGTGTTCCACACTGATGCTCAGTGAAAGAAAAATTTCTGTCATCTTTTAGACGCTTATTGACAGTGGGGTTGTTGGAGATGTGATCCATATTCAACACTTAGAACCGGTATGATGAAGTCCAGTTCATTGGACTAAAAGAATCTCAATTCTGCTTCTTCTGTATGTACTAACTGCCTCTCTGACTTCTTGTCAGGTGGGGTTTTATCACTTTGCTCACTCTTTTGTCAGAGGAAACTGGAGAAATGAGGCTGAAAGCTCGTTTTCTCTTTTAGCCAAATCCTGCCATGACCTGGACCTCATTCATCACTGGGCTGGAGGACGCAGGTATGGAACAAATACACAATAGCTTGGTTTCCCAGGCAGAGATTAAGCCTAGTTCTGGACTGCATATTCCTTTTAATGGAAAATCTCCATTCAGAATGCAACGTAGTCCAGGATTAAGCTAAATCCATGTTCTCGAAACCAACTGTAGGTCCATAAATATTCAGACACTCCTTCTAATTAGTGAATTCACCTACATTAAGATGCTCCTGGTGCTGACGTGGGTGTTCAACTGTGCACATACAGCTCCATAGAAAAGTGTTACCAATAGAGTGGGACACTCTGGAGCTGCCGCACATGAGCCTAGTATCACCATGCCCAATTCAAGTATCTGCCAGAGGGGTAATCCGCTATCCTCACTAATGCTCTGAATACAATCAGATCCTCACTGCAATGTTCCAACCTCTATTGTAAAGCCTTCTTAGGAGAGTAGAGGTTGTTACTCCCACAGAGAGGGAGAAACTCCCTGTTTATACCTTTGATTTTAGAAGAAGCATTTGAAGTATTTACAATCCTTTGGACACAAAAACACAAGCAAAAGTTTGGGCACCCCTAGTCACTTGACTTGATGATCATTATCATCATCATCTTTAACCACTCAGTCCAGATAGGGTCGCCGTAGCAGTTAGGAGAGCAGAGAATCCCAGACGACCCCAGGCCATCTTGGAGATATAATCCCTCCAGCGGGTCCTAGGAGGGATCCCAGTAGGCCGTGCCTGGTAAACCCCCACTGGGAGGGTCCAGCGGACCACCTGAACTGGCTCCTCTCAATGTGGATGAGTAGTGGCGATGACCAAGCTCCTCACCCTATTAAGTGGAGTGTAGCCCGCCACTCTGCAAAGAAAGCTCATTTCCGCTGCTTGTATTCGTAATCTCATTCTTTCGGTCATTGCCCACCGCTCATGACCACAGGTGAGGGTCAGGACATAGAACGACCAGTAAACAGAGAGCGTTGCCTTATGGCTTAGCTCCCTCTTCACCACTGCAGTCTGGTACAGTGACCGCATTACTGCTGCTGCCACCGAGATACTTAAACTCCTCCACCTGGGGCAAGTCGTTTCCCCTTACCCGGAGTGGGCATGCCATTCTTTTCCAGGCTAGGACTAGGACTTGGAGGTGCTGATCCGCATAGCAACTGCTTCACACTCAGCTGCAAACCGCTCCAGTGAGCGCTGGAGTCATCCATGCGATCCAGTCAAAGGACAACATCATCTGCAAATAGCAGAGACGCCACCATCCGGCCTCCACACATAATGCCCTCCTTGACACTCTGTCCATGAATATCACGAACAGGAGCGGAGACAAGGCACAACCTTGGCGTAATCCAATGCTAACACTGAACGAGCCTGACTTAATGCCGAGTATACGAACACAACTGTCACTCCGGGAGTACAGAGTTTGAATGGCCCGGAGTAGTAGCCCAGGCACCCCATACTTCCGGAGGACCTCCTACAGGACATTGCGGGGAACACGGTCGTAAGCCTTCTCCAAGTCCACGAAACACATGTAGACTGGGTTGGCAAACTCCCATGCCCCCTCAGCAATCTGCGAGAGGGTGAAAAGCTGGTCCACTGTTTCACAGCTGGGACGCAATCCACATTGTTCCTCCTTAATCTGAGGTTTGACTATCGGTCGTAGTCTCCTTTCCAGCACCTTGGCATAAACTTTCCCAGGGAGGCTGAGCAGTGTGATACCCCGGTAGTTGTCACACACCCTCTGGTCCCCTTTCTTAAAAATACTTAAAGACTTGATGATGTTTTGTTAATTTGTTATTAACAAAACATCATCACATTTCCACACATTTTAATGCACCATTACTGTTGCTGAATTTAACATATTTGATAGAAAATAAACCATAAAATGTGGCCTGTGCAAAGGTTATGGCAAATTTTGTACTCGAAGTTCTATTTTCCAATATGGTAAACTCAGTAAAAATAGAAATTGTGTAGTAAAATGTGCAAAAAATATTTTAGGTTTTTGTTAACTTATTTTCATGATCAACAAAACATATAATTTGACCATAGATATTCAAGCTTTTGCATACAACTGTATAGTGTACATTCATTGGTTTGGTAACTGTGAACCTTTTTACAAACCAAAAACTGTTTGCAAAACAGGAAGAGTTTATTTAATAGAATTTTTTTTTACACATTAATTTCCAATAAGTAAATGTTTTGTGGTTTACAGGTGTATAAAAATTTCGTCTTTTGGATCCCTCAGCCATTTCAGGAAAGAAAACAAGGTTTGTTTTAAGCTGAAAGATATAAATTTGTGCACTGCAATTAAATACAAGTGTTTGAACATTGTTTGTATTTAGCCTCCAGGGGCAGCAAGTCGGTGCTTAGACTGTTCTGTAGAGAGTAACTGCCCATATTCTGCAAAGAAAATCTACCTGGACAGAGTTAAAGAGGTAATAATCCTGACGCCCATTTATTATAACAGTTTCTACAGCATCTAACATGGATTTACTTACATGCAGTGTCTAAACATTTGTGGATAATGTGCAGAACTTGACAATTCAGAAAAACAGAAAGCAAACAGATAAATCTTTAACAAATGCTTTGGTAATGAATGTGTTTTAGGGCTGGGTGAGATGGCCAGTGTCAGTGATCTGCTCCAATTCGGTTCCTGATATTGAGTCAGTAACTGAGGCCTTAAAAACAGGGCCCTACGGTCGCTGTGTCTACGAATGTGACAACGATGTGTGCTCAAATCAGGTTGGACATTCTTACATGACAGTATTTCACCTGTGCTAGATCTGTGATGTCACATCTCTGAAAATATATACCCTGCTATAGAACTGAGGCAAAGTATGCGTTTCCGTCATAAGATGGGCTTAGTTTATGTTATCAGAGTGAAATATGCTGACATACGATGGATTAACATGTATTTATTTATTAACAAGTTAAAAGCCTGCCATGTGTCTTTTCGCTTCACTGTAGGTGGTTAATATGGAGTTTGAGGGAGGTCTCACTGCTTCTTTTTCCATGGTGGCATTTACAGAAAAGATATGTGAACGTAAAACACGCATCTGTGGCAGCAGAGTAGGACATACTGATTATATTTCAAATATTTCACATATAGCAAATAAAGCACAACCTTTAGATTGTGGTGTTTATTTGGATTAGACAGTCCTGTATTTGATCCACAGGGGGAGCTGTCCTACAGTGGACAAGAAGTCAGTGTATTCGACTTCCTCACTCAGACGTCCACAAAGCATACAGTGCATGAGAACGTACCTGCGGCCTTTAACTCGGGTGGTCATGGGGTTGCGGATTATCACCTTGTTGACGCCTTCATTTCAGCTGTTGCGGTTAGTTGCATACATTTAAATCTAACACTTACTGTCACAAATATAGTGCAGTACTTCATGTAAATACCTCTAAGTCCTGTGTGTTGTTGTCTTTGTTTTATCTTTATTATAGAGTGAAGATCCACTGCTGATCCAGTCGGGTCCAAAGGAGACGTTGGCGAGTCACAGACTGGTGTTTGAGGCTGAACGTGCCCGTCTAGAGAACAGGGTTGTGTTCTGTGAAACTGACCATGACTAGGAGACCAAAATTAAAGGCAAAAAACTGTTTTTCCTTTATAAACGCATAATTACAATAGGAATGGACGATATGGCAAAAATTGTAAAATCACAATACTTTCACAATGCACAGTATGCATCATGATTTTTAATTTTTCTGTGGTTTAAAAGCTGTACTGGACACGGTACTGGACACATTGCACTGCACTGGATCTAATTAAACATGCCTAGTTATGCTCTGTAATGAAGCACAGAGTTGGCCAGTGTTCCTTAACTACTGATGATACCAACGATATTCTCAGAAAAGCACATTGCACACCCCTAAAATAGAGGACATATTCTAACGGTTGGGTGGGCTTTTACGAAGGATTAATAATTAATAATATAATTAATAAAGGGGGGGGGGTGCAAAAACAGTCACTGGAGAAACTGATTTTTATGCAGTGTAACATGTTACTGTGATTTCCATATATCTATTTTAAATCTACAAATAATTATTTGTAATATATAATTTGAAATAAATTGTTATTCTTTCAGGGGAATAAACTATGAACGTTGTAATAGTTTTTAGATGTAGTAATACAATAAAATTCATAATATCTCTTGTCTGATTACATTTCATATGTGTCCTTAAAAGGTCCTACTTATGTTAGGCAAGTAATGGTGCTTTGCCTCTGATGTCAAATTCAAGTTCAAGTCTGCATGATCACACTTTGATCGCCGTGATTGTGGAATATATTTTAAAGAACTGAGGTTGAGTTTGGACAAAATTGGGCTTCATTTAGATAATAAGCTTTTGAGTTACAGAACCATTTGTTGGTTGGTGAATGTTTTAAGCTTTTTTATGAAGACCGTATATAGTGACCCCAAGACTGGTGCCACACTTGTTACATGTTTAAGTTTATTGTGTAAGGATGCAAAATGTCAAACTAATTGTTTTAAGCAGACCATTTCAAGACATTTTAAAGGTCCACCCTGCCGTTTAATTTCCACGTCGGTCATTTCAGCAGTTTCTTTGCAGTCTTCTGCAGGTTTGTGTCTGAAATGTCCTTTACACTTCCAAGTCCATGGTCCCCTCAGTGAACACAAACTCACCAACAAGAAGAAAGTCAGCCCCAGTACGAAAAAGAGAGAAAAAGAAAAACGGCCCAGGCTTTGACGTTTCCACCTCTGTGTTTTAAAGTACCCATAGTGCAGTCTGGTTGGAACTCTTCTCCAGTCTCCACACGGAGTCTACCATCAGTTTAATGTTGTGCTAAAAGTGTTATTATCTAAAACAAATATAATATTTAAAAACAGTTTATGAAATGACCTGAATAACATTTTTTACAATGCCAGTGTCTATAAAGTGTTTGTAAATTTCTTTAAAGGGATCTTAGACATACAGGGCATTCGGAAAAAAAAAAAAACAGACGTCATTGAACAGAGCCAGGTTTCCCAAAAGCATTGTACAATAGTACATTTGGGAAACTGGGCCAGGACAGTTTCAGGTCAGAGCAGTTTACACATTAGACTTGTGGACACTGTGTGTGTGCTAGGCACCATGGTGGTTCTGGAGACTTTGACCTCTGGATGAGTAGCCTTTCTCTGCCGTAACTGTTTTGAAAATAAGCTGTTGTGGTAAACCAAACTGAGCAATGCTTGTTTAACATTGAATCAGTAACACTAAGTAAACCCCGCACAAATACTGTAGTCACTGTGGACGGCAACACAAGTGCTATTTTCTTTCACTGCATTGTGAATGATTTACTGGTGAAGCTCTTCATTGCAGAGAAGTTTCACCTTTTCAGTGGTTGGAAATTCCTGTTCATCCTGATAATCACAGTAGTGATTATAACTAACATTGTTCTACAGATTACATCTGGTCAGCTTAGCAATTCTTAGCTGTACTGAGTTCTGTTGATGGAAGCAGATGACTCAGCCGAATGTTTTCAGAAGACCTGTAAAATGTGGATATATCTGACACACTATATGATATCATCAGTGGCTCCACCTTTGCATGCTCTGGGGCAGTGGTGGACTCTGACCCAGCAAGTGGTGAGCAGTTTCTCTGGGATTAGGATATGGTTGTAGTTATAGTCAGAACCCTGCAGGGGGCAGAATTTACAAAACACTGAACAGGCTGTTTATGGCTTTGGGCAAATTAAATATAAGACTTTTAAGACACTTTTATTACCAGTTGTAACAGAACTAGTGCAACAGAATTAACAAAGATGGAATATTTGCAACAATTTGCCATGCATAGTGACCACTTGGTAACACTTTACATTGAGAATCCATTTTAGATACTTTTATTGAAATAAATAAATCTATGAAATGCCATCAGTATAATTGCCTGCACTCATGCAAAAGTTTGGGCCCCTGATTAAATTACATGTTACTTTAATGAGTAAAATAACTTCTTCAATTGGTCGTTCATAGTAACATTTCACTGCACTATGACTACTAAGCAGTTTTCTAGCAGCAGATGTGTAAAAAAACAAACCACAAACCGAGAAAGGCAAAAGTTAAATACCATATGTACTTAAAACTATAATATAAACAACAATAACACAAATATACAGAAAAGTAGTAGAGAAAATGCTCGATTGTAAAGGTTGGCTGAAAACTGTTTGGGGTGGAGGGAAAGTGATCGGTTGACATCATTTGCAGTGCTTTGTGGAATAAGTAGTTCATTCTGACATTTAAAGACATTTTGTTTCTTGAATGATCTTGTAGCTGGTTGGTTTGGTTGGGTGCTTAAAACTCTTTATATAAGGATTTTTTCTAAACATCTAAGGGAAAATGAATGGGTCTGTAGATCAAGTGCGCTTCTGCTTTGTTGGAATGCATTTTTCTTTTACTTTTAAAACTTTAAGATACACAATTGAACCTTAAAGACATTTACATTGTTCATACCTTGGGGGACTAAAACTAACCCAGATAGTGCCCTTTTTTCTGACAGTGTAAGTAACTCTAGAAGGAACTAATCGCCCAATTAACATAAGTAATGCCAAGCACAGTTAACCCTGGAGTTGAGATGAAAGTGTGCACTGAGTAGCTTGTTGGTTTCTCTGTTCTACCAGGAAGATCATCACTGTATCATTAAGGATACCTGTTGAGGACCTTAGTTTATCCTGTCTGACGATCCAGTTTTGCAGAATCCACTGTCTATCCCTGTAAAGTAGTTAAGATACACTGTCATTTATTACCTTCCTCTTACTGTGTGCTTTGTTTAGAATATCTCTGTGACTAACGTGGCCCACCTCATTTACATTGTACAAACCAGTTTGAGGTAATAACCTGGACTCCACTGCTGGGCACTGATGTTCTGTACACAGCGGAGTGCTCATCCGGTTGCTTTCTCCCCTGCACACTGTGCTTATTTACCTCCTGATAAATCTTTCCCAACGCGTGTTATGCAATGAGTGAAACAACTGAACTGACGTCCAGTGCAAAGTGATCACAGCTGTGCTGGTGATAGCAGCGAAGGGTTTCTTCAGGGTTCTAGGAACAGTGATCTTGCTATTTTAAATGCTGACTAATGCCTGACTTTGGCCCCAGTTTCTCTAGTTCATTGTTCTGTTCATTGAATAAAGCCAAGAGGGAAATATAAAATCCTTTTCCCAATGATTGTGCATTGTTTGTTGCACATGATAAGGGTGTATTTTATTTTCCAAAAGGGTATCAGATGTTGTGTTAACAATGTGAAAAAGTCGCTTCGAATGCTGTGAACTGTGCCGAGCAGTGGGATCCCAGAATAGGAACCACTGTAGCGTACAACAATGCATAATGTTTTCTAAGGTTAAAAAAGGTAAAAAAGCAATGGACATTCATCTACTCACTTTTAAAAAAGGTACCAGTCAGTTGATCAAGATCAGCCTCACCTGTCAAACACTGGATTTAGTGAAATGCATCCTCTGGAACTGAAGATAAGCACTCAGAGTCACTGTAAGATTAAAGAATTTAAATTTTTTTCTATTTTTACTAGATACAGTGAACGGCATGGCTTTGTGAGGACTGATGACACCTTAGAAAATAATATTCTATGGCACTAGATGTGTATATTTTAATGGTCACAGTTCTATGGATGAGCGAAATATTCTGCTATAATATTGTGTTCATAGACGGTTACAAAATACCTGTTTCACAAAAAACGTTATTTCAAACCTATGATAAAACAGTGTCTCAGGCTTCAGGCAACATATTCATAACCATTTCTTCTAATAACTTTCTGTGAGGGAGCTTTTCAAGGAAAACGGTTAAAGTCTCTCAAGTCTTTGGATGTCTGGTTCCTGCTGTGAACAACTTGACTAGCTAAGTTTCTATAAAGTGTGGTACATACGGATGTAAGCAGTTAAAGTGTGGAGATGTTAGTCGTGAAATACTGATGCCACAAAGTTTTGACCTGAACAGTTTTGCTTTAAACATTTGAACTCAGTGGTGGCTGGTGCCGATGCTCCCTGCTTCAAAAAGTAAAGAATGACAATAATTACCATTTTCGACGGAAGACGTTTGTTCTATAGACAAAGATACGCTAAGACAAAGTGACAAGACTGCACTCCAGTACTGAAGTCTCTGTTTAAATGAGGAAATAACAGAAATTCATTATAGTGAAATGGTACATCCCTCAATTGACATCAATTTTTTTAAGTTCACCTCACCCACAGTACTGTTCAACAGCCCACTGCTGGGGTGAGACCACTTTTAATTTCTTTAAATTCTGGTAAAAAAGGTCTTTTTGTACAAACTATTTATCTCAGCACAGGACAAACAAGCTGAAAACATTTAACAGAAAATTACACAGTAGATGCAACAGCTAAATGTAACATCACAGTGTCAATCATTTCAGGAGACTTGCTTTCAGCTTTTTAAAGAAATCCACACCTCCAAAGTTCAGTCTTAGAAGTTGGTTGCACTTTCTGCTTCCCACAACCAAGTAATCTCAAACACATTCAGTGACATTGAGGTCTGGACTCTAGGGTGGTCAGTCCATTGTTCTGAGAACACCAGCTTCTTTGTTTGATTTTCTTCTTTATTTTTCTTTTTTTTCCCTTTTTATTTCCTTTTCTCAGTAACAGCTTCTTGACAGCTATAGCTCCATAGCATTAAATTGTCCTTTCACAGATCAAAATACTTAATATAATGTACATCTCAATAGAGCGCATTGAGAGTCATCCTTTTCACAGCTAAAACAGCAGTTTCACACGATGTTAACAGTGAATGACATGAACATCAGCTGCTTTATCTCAGGGTGGTTCTTGCTTTCAAAAATCTAGCTAAAAGTTAGAAGCATCAAGAGAGGGCTACTATACTCCCCCCTCCTGTTTTTCTAAACTGTGATGTCATACCATTACATTTCATTGATTCAGAGAGGCTTCTCATCTAATCATGTTATCCAAGTAGTCTCCAAATACTTACTTGTATAGCAGCGATGTTTGGACCGTATGAGCGACAAACTCCCGTGTCTCTTTTGTCCGGGGGGTTGCAAAGTTACAAGTCTACAAACACTTGATATTCACTTTGTACCACACAGATAGCACAGATGTCTATTTATCTCCTGCCTATTTATAATGTAGATAGGAAAAAAAGATTTATTTAGTGCAAATGGATCATTCACAACTT